AAGACATATAGTGATTATGTATGTGATCTATGAGCAATAAAAATTAATGAAGAAATATATTCATTAGAAAATATTTAAATACTTACGACGTATGGCTTTCACTATTTCGAAAAGTGCTCGCGTTATTACCCGTATTAGAAACATTATTCTGCACATTTAATAACGCCTTTTGAAATGAAATGCATAAACGCGTTCTGCTGAACTCTTTGGAACACCCCTAATCGTTTTTTTCTTCTTATTTTCAAAATTTTTGGCTCTAGTTTGCGACATACTTTGTATTGTTGAGTAGATATATCAACAATAAAGAAAATCACACCCATTCTAAAGAAGTTTTYACTTCAAAAAATGCAATGATGCAAATGTTTTTAAACTATACTTATGCTATAGAAATTTCTAGTCTTGTAAAAAGTGCAATTTACGGTAATAAATTACAATTTACTTTTAATTAGACTTTTTAAATTTAGTTTTMTATCCCTTACTCAACTGCKACTAGGTGAAATTGAATAGATTTACACAGCAAGTTGACGATAATATCTTGGGAATAATTGTAAAATAATAAAAAATTTTTTCTTATTGCTATTTTTAACGTTAATGATAAGATTTGGTTACTTTATTTTGACTAACGTGTGAGTACAATTGTTACATTCCCGTGACAATAAACAAGGTTCTAAAAACTTGACATTAGCCACGCTAACGCGCTCTAGTGGTAAAAGATCTGTCCCCTCATTTTCGGACATTTATAATACATTGCGATCGCCCTCCTGTTATCTAGGCTCCGTGATTTAGAAGTTCAAAGTGAACCTTGGTTAATTGTTTTCTAAGTACTACATTTGTTTGCCTTGAATTTGAAATTTTATACGCGCTCTAGCGATATTTTTAGGAAGCTCCATCGACTAGTACCGTATCAAAGAATTTACCCATGTGGTGACGGAGGTAGAAACACAGGAGATCGAAAGATATAGGTAATATGTAACATTACCCGTCCTCTAAAAACGTAAGAAATAACTAGTACTTATTTCTGCTACTAGGGCGGTATGAAGATTAATGTAATCCTGTTGATGTGACAGAAAACCGTTGAGCATTGCCTCAGCGATTGCGTATTTGTAAAAGAAAACAATACGTACGTGATTATTTTTTTTTTAACTTCAATAGGTTATGTCTACGTTATTTTCCAAACATATGAACTATTGTCAAGTATTTATAATTAATACGAATAAATTTACTGTTGTGTTATAACAAAATTTTACATTCTACCTCCGTCGATGAGTCGACCATGACTCACTTCCGCCGTTTTTTTATAGGTGGTTTTAACAGTAAGTAGTAGTTGAAATAAATAGATCATAGGTGTCATATAATAAACATTATGAAAAAATCTGCTGCTTAGACTCATCGAATCCTTTCAAATGCTTATGATGATAATACTATAAATGAAAAAACGAGTGGTTTCGAAAAAACTAAAATGTTAGTTTAACCCCTTAAGTTAACCCTGCTAGAGTTAACTCGAGCGGAGTTGTATTATATGCTGCTATAAAAATTTTGTTTAATTTTGTATTTTTGTAATCTTTTTGCCAAGAGATCGTTCTAAATTGTATTCTTTTACATAAAAAGGAATTGATTTTTTTTAGCCGGTTTAAAAAAAAAACTGTACGTTAAGGGGTAATAAAACTGTAAAAAAAAATCCAAACAGGTTTTATAAATTACTGTTTATTTTTCGAATATGATTCGTACTAGTTTTATTTACAATACTTCATAGATGTAACAATGTTAACATTTGATATAACGTTTGTTTATTGTTAAACTAGATTGATTTAGTTAGGTAATTTTTCCAAAAAAAATTTAAATTTACAGGAGTATGTACACTCAATCATGTCTATATATTAACATGTATTAGGAGGATCAAAACGTAATCAAAATTTCTTCCATGAGATCATTTAAATTTGATTTGCGTCGAGACACGGCCCGGCAAACACGGAAATTTTGTTATTACGTTTAATCTTGGTTGTGAATTTTATTTTTCGGTCAACAAATTTTTGTTCTACCAAGTGGGAAATATGTCAAGGCCAACAATAGAAGAAGCACACTTACGTCAATGTATACCATTTTTGTTCGATCAAGTTACAGAAGCAGTGAAAAAAATTAATGATACTTACGGGGATGTTTTGGGACTAATAAAGTATTATACATGGTTTAGCAAGTTTAGAAGTTGAAAAAGGAATCTTGAAGATGCCCCACAAAAAAAAACGACCCTATAAATTAGATAATGATATGCTGAAGGAGTTGGTGGATTCAGATCCTCGTCAAAGTACTGCTGAATTATCATTGGAGATTGGCTGTTCGCGGCTTACCGTTCAAGATCGTCTTCGTCGCATAGAAATATTGTACAGGAAAGGAATTTGGGTTCCTAAAGAATTGATAGAGACGGTGCTCGATCAACGGCGTACCATCTGCTTGTCTCTTTTGTCTCGGTATGAAGCCGATCCGTTTTTGAAACGAATGGTAATTGGAGATAAGAAGTGGGTGGTATACAAAAATTCTGTACAAGAAAAACAATTGCTTTCTTCCGGAGAAGCACCTGTTTCGACACCTGAACCATCACTAACAACACAGAAGATACTTGTTTGTGTGTGGTGGGATGCTTCTGGAATCATACATTATGAATTGTTTGAACCTGGTCAGACCGTTACAGCGACAATGTATTGTGAACAACTCGAACAAATGAAACAAGAGCTAATAAAAAAAGGATCTGTTTTTGTCAATAGGAAAAACAGAATCCTTCAACAAGATCACGCGAGTAAAAACGCTGCAGTAATAATACACGAAAAAATAAGTGAGCTTGGATTGGAACTTTTACCTCATCCACCCTATTCAGCAGATCTCTTGCCGTCGAATTACCTTCTAAATTCGTTAGAATATAGATTAAGAAATCAAAACTTTAACAATGTTGGAGAAATGAAAACTGACTTGGAAAAGTATTTCAATGAACTATCGGTAATCTTTTTTGAAAATGAAATCAAACGGCTGCTTGGGCTCTGACGTGCAGTTTTAGAAAATAATGGAAATTATTTGTAATTATAATATTTGTTTCGCCAGCAAAAAAAAATTTTGATTACTTTTCGGTCCTCCTAATATATGCATATGCACATATAATTGCGAATGTATATCTTTCATTTGTATTTTCATATGTGAACACCTTCAAGAAGTACAAAATATTAACACTTTGCCGGCCGCTGACACGTAGTATATGTGACTTTTTTCCTCCAGGATGAATCTCGCCGGCGGCAGCGCAAATTTGGAAAAAAAATCCCGATTATAAGCCGGAAATTATTTTCAGTCACTCATTCAAAAGTAAATCATCAGCTACAAATAGTTCTTTGGTCACCTTTGTTGACAAAAAAAAGAAGAAAAGAGAAGAAAGGGGAAGAACAGAGATCATATCGTAACAACAAGACGGCGACAATGATTTGGCGCTTACCTCGATACCTTGGGAATATCAGCATCTCGTTACATTCCGTTTTCAAAATCCTGCCTGGGGATTACTGACACGGGATTACTCTATAAAATAAAAAAGTATTATAATAAAAATCTACGAAGAACTAAATAAGTTGTCAATAATGTGCAATAAAAATATATTTACGAATATGGGAAACAACTGCATCTACGATCCGTTCAACCTGGACTGAATCGTTATTTTGTTTAAACGATCTCAATGTCTTTGACAAAGTTGTCAATATAAAAATAACGCTCAAATCCTGCAAGCTGATTGGTTAGTTTTCATTGTTTTCGATTGCCTGTGTAAAAACTAAAGCGTTATCTAGATTATTTTTCTTATAAAATATATTTAATTATTTATAGTCCGAAATCCAGCTGCAAGATTAGTGCACTCATCGAGTTTTTGCTAAAAACCTAATTTTTACATATATTTATGATTAGGAGAATATATATCTACCAGGTTGCTTATAAAAATGTGGCCACTAGTATTTTTAATTAAATTATTGTTAATTAATTTTTTGGAAAAAAATTCATTCACTTGTTTTTTAAATAAAATATCATCCACTTCACGACAATACATGTAAAGACTTTGAAAAATCACGGTTGCCGTTGTACACTTGGCCGCACCTCTCGCAGGTAGGTGTAAACAGGTATGATTTTGATATATTTATACGTTCATAACGTACATTTATTATTTATATATCAAATTAAATGTAATTTTTTTCTGTTTATTATGATATACGGTTGCTTACTTAAATCTGGCTGCAAATAAAGGTTGCTGGCTGTAAAGATGGTAAATATTAAAGGTAGAGTGAGAGAGAGAGTTAGCGCGCAACATCACATGTCAGACGAGGATAGCGATTGCCAGCTGTACGACACTTTAAAGCCACTGCGCATGCGTCGAACGCTAATGTTCTCAACTAAATAGCTGCGTCATTATTATTCTAACCACGCTGTTTTGGAGCTACTGTTTGCACCGGTGGTTGAGAACATTAGCGTTCGACGCATGCGCAGTGGCTTTAAAGTGTCATACAGCTGGCAATTGAACTATTTCTTCATAAATTTAGAACTATAAATGTGTTATATACTTTACATTGAGTAAGAAATGTCATTTTTCATTGTTATTGATTTATTAATAAATAATGAATATAAAATGTATACCATTATTTAAAAGTTTTCTCAATTCATTAGTTTGCTTGTTTGTCAAATTGTAAATAAATAATTTAATAAGCAATAATTATATAAATCTGTTTATAATTTCAGGTATGTACAAATGACTATTTAATACATTAACAACCGGCAACCTAAGAGACATTTAAAGCCTGAGCACGAGCCGGCGCTCAAGCCAGTGCTGTCAGACAGTGCTGTCAGATCGTGGGTAAATCTTACCCTCTCCCTGTGCCACTGGGATTGCACACAATGAAAGTTTTCCATRTCCGTGTGTTTGRRATGTCRAAAGAAGYCGAGTGTAACCGAAGTTGGCGGGCACGCCGGAGTGGCACACTATGAAAGCGACTCGTGCGTCCGAACACATGGACACGAGTCGCTTTCATAATGTGCCACTTCGTGGCCAACCGCCAACTTCGGTTACACTCGGCTTTCCTCGAAATCCCAAACACACGGACATGGAAAACTTTCATTGTGTGCAATCCCAGTGGCACAGGGAGAGGGTAAGATTTACCCACGATCTGACAGCACTGGCTCAAGCAAGACTGACCTTAGCAACTACAGCGCACTCTGGACTAAAACTTTATTTCTTCCACATGTGGCGGATAACTTTTTTTATACAGCGTTCATTCTTCTGTGTTTTTACCTTCGTCCTTGTTGTCACCATGTCTATGAGCAAATGATTTTGATTAGTGTTATTAAATTTAGAAAAAACATCATCAATTATAATAATGTCATTGAAATTATTCATAACTTAAGTAAATGTAATAAAAAAAAATATAAAAAGAAAATTACTTAAATTACACGCATATAGAATCGATCGTGTGTAAAATGTATTTCAGGTGATGCACTGTAATCTAACTAATAAAATAGTATAAATATTCCTCTTATAACCTAGTTTGTTGTCATTTTTAAATTTAAGATGGAATTATCAGAAAAAGTAATGAATATTAAAAATATTAAAAATTTAAATGTATTACCCGAAGATATTTTTGTGCAAATGTTAGAAGCTGTAATTTTATATTTATGTAAAACTCCTGTAGACCAGAAAGGTAAAAAATATGGAAAAATAATATTGAAAAAGTGAAACAAACATTGCATTCATTACACTGTGTAAATTTATGTTTAACACCATAGGTCAGTACAATGTCAAAAGCAACGGTACCAAATGTGACATCGCCAAAAATGCATTTGTCGACTTAAGTTGTCTTTTAGTTGAAGCTGCTAGACATGACTTCGATAAAGAAAGTTTAAAAAAACTTTTAAATACCTCATTAATCGTTGATCACAGAGTAGACAAACTATGCCATAGTTATGCTAACAATAAACAAGAGATTCAAATGCAATTACAATTAATTGGAAATAATTTAGGCCATATAATAGACACCGACTGGCGTTTAATTCATTGTATCAAGGTATTCAATCAAATTCTATTTATTCAACGTTTTATGGGTTAATAAACATATTTTTAAAATATGAATAGTAAATATAATAAGTCTAAATATATTTTGTTCATTTACAGTATGATGGATTTCAAAATTCTATTGGGTCCTTTCAGTATCATATACGTTTCACCACTAAAGAATATGCAGAAATAAAATATGTTACATTTACATGTACATTGCAACAATTGCAGGAGTTACTTGGTAAAATTAAAGATGCCATAAGACATTTAGAAAAAATTCCTACCAATTAGTTGCAATTATTGTAACAAACATTGTTTTCTTTAGAATTAATCCATTTTGTACTATATAATTTATATATATATATATATATAATATATGTTGTTAAGAAAGAAAAATCATGTTAATAAAGAAGTCAATGATTCGTATTAAATTTGGTACGTTAATCGTTTGTATAAATATGCAATAGAAATTTGTTCACATAAATTCAATTGACGTTGGAAAAAGAAAATAAATTGTTCTTTTTTATTTTTTTTTTTTTTTTATAATAGATCTTTCTTTTATCAAGATACGTTTCTTATACTCTGCTTTATACCCTGTATAATGAAATAAAAAAATGCTATACTAATGCTATGAATAAGAAGATATATAAAATATTCTAAACTACTTTAGTGTAGAGGTTCAAGGATGTGTGTTATACAAATTATTGAAAAGATATATATAGAGGTGCGTTTAATTATATTTTCATATGAATAAGAAGAAAGTCTCCTAATCCATAAAGTTTAACTAATTAAAAATACATTATTCTCCGTTCTGTAGCCAAATATTTATCTAAAAATTGATATTTTTTTTTTGGACAAAAAAAATACTATCATTACATTCTTACTTGTTAAATATATAATTATATTAATAATTAATATTTTTTCCACTATCATATAATATATAACTTTTTAATCATAATACAATATGTACAAATAAAGCAGGGTATAACCCTGATCTAAAAAAAAGTGATCTTTCATTATTAAATTTCATTTGTAAACTTTGTCACCGTGCACTTTTTCATCTCTTCTTTTTGACATTCCTCCAATTTCATTTAATATTTATATTATAAATGTGATCTTTTCAACTATTTTTTTCTTTTTTTGCAAAAAGGAGGAGGGTAGTAAGAGAGTACGATTTATATGTAATAAATTTTTTCTGAAAGCATGGAAAAGCTTTCTTTTTATAACGATATGGAGTTCCATTTGTGTTAAAATGTTACAAAGATCACAGTATATCATTGCAATCTAGTTTTTTTTTTCCTTTTTCTTTTCTTTTTACAACTGTCCACATTTCTCTCCAATCATTCTTATTGTTCCATATCCGTTACTCAATATGAGATATGATAAGGCCTCAGACATTTCACTACATCTGCCAGTCTTCGAATATTTTTAAAATCTTCCTCAACACACATACGAATATTTATAAATATAATTCTTTGAAATATAGAATTAGGGAAACAAAACAATCATTGCATCACGTATTGTGTAATTAATCTCATTATAGACTCCAGATATTATTAATTATTATTGATATCAATTTGTACTTTAATGAAGTACGTTAATTCTTAATAAAGTTATTTTCTTTGGTCAATTATGCGTTCATTAATGTTTTATTCTTATGAGAAAATAGTATGTTTAGAAGAATCGATTTAAAAATATTCGATGCTGTCAATTACATAAATTTGTCAACCTATGATATAAAAATGCATTCTTTAGATAACATTATATTAGTTTAATCAAGTATATCTAACATTTCTATATTAATTATTTAATAGTCGCGTATATGTGAGCTCGTCGCATCTAATTATCTGTGCGCATACCATTATCATCTATTTTTTTCACAATTATTCATTATCTTTGACTTTTACCGGTATTTTACTGGTAGTCATAATCCATCATTTTCATTTTTAATTAAGTCACTAATATCTACAATGTGTCTCAAATAATGCACAAATGTATTATGGTATATAATAATGTAGATCATCCACCAACAAATCAACATGAACAATGTATACTGAAATATAAACAAAATACATTATAACATAGATCTTTAATAAAATATCTCTTCAACTACATTATTTATGATTTTTCCATACTACATGAATATTATATAAATTGCTCCCCTTAGCGAGTGAAAAATTATACAAAAATTATGAATAAATGTATCAAAAACAAATAAAAAAAAAAAAAAATTCATTAATTTTGACTTCAACTTTTGCTGTATGTCTGCCATAATAAGATAAAATTGTGTTTACAGCAATAGGCGAGGCTAAAGAACGGTAACATGTGTTGAACAATATATTCGAGTTTAGCTGTTCTTATACGTCTACTTCGCTATGCATAATTGCAATGCATGCACGGCTCCTGCATAATTGTTTTACAACCAATGACGACGATGATGATAATGATCACGATGACAATAATAATCTTAAAAATAATAATAATAAAAATGAAAATGATTGTGATGTTAATGACAATTATTGTGTACTAACGCTCTATTACAAATGAGCAGGTAAATGATCGATAATTAGCGAACAAAAAGAATAATAATAATGATAATAATAATAATAATAATAATAATAATAATAATAATAATAATAATAATAATAATAATAATAATAATAATAATNTAATAATAATAATAATAATAATAATAATAATAATAATAATAATAATAATAATAATAATAATAATAATAATAATAATAATAATAGTAATAATAATAATAGTAATAATAATAATAGTAATAATAATAATAATGATGATGATGATGATAATAATATTAATATTATTATTAATAATAATAATAATAATAACAACAACAATAATAATACATACTATTCTCATCATTATTATTATTATTTATTTATCTATAATATTATTTTTATTATTAACACATCCCCTCCATCTCTATTTACAAATATATACAAATGCCACATAGGCCTTAACGTTTTACAAAGATTATGTTACTGTGCAAATGGCGATAGCAGGTGCTTATTGTTATATGTATATATATATATATGAATTGAAAAATGATAATCGTTCAAGCAATTGAAAAGAAAGAAAAAAAAAATGTCTTACCTGTACAGCACAGAATTTATAATTAACGTGTTATAGAATAAATGATATTTAATTATTAATTGATAAATAGAACTTTATTTCTACAGAAAATAAAAATAATAATTTTGTTTGTATATTCCCATATGACTAAAATATAAAGATATGAACAATTATAAGAATTATATCTACAATTCTATTTATATTTTCAAATAAATATATACATATATATGTATATATATATTTCTTTTTTTGCTTTAACATCCTTAAAATATAGATTTTTGTACATATACAAATAAAAATAGTTCAAGTATTAGTAATATGGTTAGAAAATTACAAAATAAAACAATATATTTTTTCTGATGTCGTAATTTGATGTGCTGTGCAGATAATATACTCAAATATTCTTATTCTCATTTATAGCTACAAATAAAATAATAATGAAAATAAAAGCACTAAGCGTGTACATAAAAACTTACAATTTATATTACTTTAATACAATCTATTAAATACGAAACATTAGCAAATTTGTACAAAATTCGCCAACATTAAAATGTGCATCTGCTTTCGCGCAATTCTATTAGCAAGTATAGATATATTTATTCATTTTGTTGTTTATCCAATAATGTCAACTTTGTGTAAAATAATTTAATTTTGTATATGAATCTTTATACATTATCTTTTCTGAAGCAATATAATTACAATGCTAGTAATCAAAACAAAATATATAAGCCATACACATTGTTACATATTAATCCAAATTCTTTTATAAGCTTTAACTTTTATTTTAAGAATGCATTGGAACAGCAAATTTAACACTCCATGATTAAACAACTTTCAAATCTTTACTATGAATGGAATATCTGTTTCAATTTAAATAGCAACTATAAAAATCTGAATTGCAAAAAATTTCAAATATAATCTACATTTTACATTACATTTTGTAAATATATCAAAGTCTCATAATCATAATAAAACGATTATGTACACATCGTGAAGATGGTCTTGCAAAATCACTCTCATAACAATTAATGACAAATATTAAAATCAATCAAATTATTTTACTGAAACAAGATTTTTCATCGTGTTTAAAGCTAATAATGATATAGCAAAAAACACGACATTTATCTTGTCAAATAATATAGATTTTCAATAATATAAACAAGTGTATGCTATTGTACTGCACCATTGACAATAACGTGAAGTATGACTTACGAGTGATGATATTAAATTGAATTATTTCTATGAACAACTGGCTAGATTATTTATAACAAATAATATTTCCTATTAATAAAAGTAAAACTGCAACAAATGATTACCTTTTTTCAACAAACCTTGCAAATGCGTGCGGTACCATCATTGAGTACTTGTTGAATATAATTACGCTTCCAAATGGTTACAAAATAAAGAATAAGAAAATAATCAATTAAGTTTACTGTTTAATCAAATAAAGTTGTATCTATACTTAGAGCATTATATTCAAATTTATAATGAAACCTGGCAAAAAATAATCTTTCCAACTATTATATTCTATCCAGCTGTTCGTAGACATTAATTAATAAATTTCATTTGATAATATCAGAATCCCTGTAGTCACCCTTATGACTCGATTTTATTTTTTTGCACATCCAAATTATTTTTTTGCACTTGTTCATTTACTTTTTCAAGATCATCTGTCTTTGATTCATTGTTTTCTGCTTTAGTTTTAGTTTTTTCAGTAGATACATTACCTTGTGAAACACATTTAGACGTATCATTTTCTTCTTTAGATACATTTGCATCAGTCTGATTAGTAGATTCCTTGATTTTCTTACCATCTACCACATGTTCATTAACTTTGTTTGTATTCTCAAAATGATCAACCGTAATATCACCATTGAGTTTAATGTTTGTTTCTTGTTTTTCCATTTGTTTGCATGTATCAGTTGGTTCGGTAGTATTTCTACAGTCCACATTAGGATAGTGAATACTTTCTTTCTGATTGAGAGCTGTATCCATCTGACTATTATCATCTTGATTCTTTTGCTCGACGGTATCACTGTTGTTTCTTGTTTCTAATATTTGCTGCGATTTTCCTTTTGTAACGCTATTCATAATATTCTGCTTACTTGTAGTTGTTGATGTTGTACAACTAGAAGTCACCATAGAATTTTGTTTAGAAGTTTGCGAATCTATTCCGTCCACTCCACACGTTTTAATAGAATTAGAAGAATTGCTTCTCAAAGTACCACTTTTAGATAAATTAAAGGCATTGTGATCCTGCTGTGTTACACTTTTAGGAAAAAGCGCTGCTACATTGTCAACCGATGCTGTTACAGAGGTTTGGGTATTTTCAGTTTTGCTTGGATTAAAGGAACTTGATGATATGATAGTAGGGGAGGAAGTTTTTGGTGACTTTGGTGATGACGAATGCGTACTAGGAGGAATTCTTTGCACCGTTGGAGGTTGTGACACGGATGAATAGCCAGTTGTTTGCGGTATATAACTTGTACGCTGGTAAAGTTTATTTATAGTTGGCGGTAAACTACTGTGAAAAGCACTAGGAGGAGGAATGCCAATAGGTGATCTTATCAGTGGATTTGGAAAGCCACTTGCATCAGGAAAAGGTGTATGAAAATGTGAATATATTAACCTTGGATTGGTATTTGGAGTAGGAGATGGTATAAATGGATTAGTCGAGAGCATATTAACTGGTGAATTTCTTGGAGATATAGGTGAATTTGTATTTCTACACATCTCTCTTGAAAATGGAGTATTCTGATAACTACGTGCATTAGGTGAATATGGTGGCGGTGAAACAATGGGAGAATTGGACGATGAAACAATTGGCGATAATGTTTTGGGATCAATTTTCATCATGTTCAAACTAGTGCCTTTTGAGCTTGTCTGTTCTTTCTCTTTAGTTTCATTCGTAATACCATACATTGGCTTCACACCTGATGCTGGATTACCTAAATACCGTGGCATATTTTTCATTTTAAAAATTTTAGCAGGCTTGGATGGAATGTGTTTACTTGTTCCTTCTGAGGCAGTACTTTGAGTACTTTGCATTTCTTTAGTTTGATTTTTAACTGCAACATAATTATTTTTTGATAATGTAGGATTCCAAGATTTTGGTGGATCACGTAACGTCTTGTATCCAGTCGATTGATTGTGTTTTTTAAGAGAAGAAATCTTTTGCGATCCGTGAGATGTTGGCACTGACGTGGATGTCGATGTTATTGGAGCAGAGTTAGTATTATCCTTAATGGCGACGTGAGTATTCTTACTTTCTGCGGGTATATTGGTATTAGGATTAAATATTGGTACATTAGGAATATTTGGTATGTGTTTTACTGTTGATTCGGAAACAGTTGTCGTTCCTTTCTTTGCTATTTTAAGTAAATCTGGAATATCTGATTTATTGCGCCCTTCAGCCTTATTCTTTTCTTTGGAATTTTCTCCAATTTTTGCACAAATATCATTTATCTTAGAACCCGATGTACCAATCTTAGCGCAAATTTCATTCAAGTTTGTGCCTTTTGCTATAACTTCATGCTTGCGTACAAGTGGTTTCATTAGTGATATTGGTATAGCACCTGGGCAAGGTGGAATCGAATAAACCCCACTTATTTCGAAATTAGGTTTTGATAATTCTTGCCTAGCCATTGTTGTAGTTGTTGTACTTTGAGTAACATTAGAATAGCTATTCTTTAATGTGCTGGGTATAGAATAAATACTCATAGATGGATCTTGCATATTTACGTGTGGTATAGAACATAGTGGATTATCTGACGCCGATGTGCAAGATATATTCATACTTTCGCTACTTACAGGTAAAGACGTTACTTTTTGAGTGGAACAAACATTAGTATTCTTTTGTGGACTTTTTAACATCGTAGTATTCACTATATCTTGAACTGTGTATGGAAACGTTAAAGTTGTTTGACTCGTTGCGGGTGTTGTTATGTTATGATTAAGACATGCAGGGATTTCATTTAATAATGTGTTGTTGTTATTACGTACTTGTTGTTGTACTTTAACGTTAGCGCTTACGCTCGCGTTAGCGCTGGCATTCGAATTTGTTAGTTGACTTACTTCTACAGTAGACTCTATGGAAGACCGTTCTGAAGTATTTATCCTTTGGTCGAGTAAATTTAAAGCTTGTTGTACAGTGACTGCTGCATTTTGACTGCTCTGCGTCGAAGTATCCTTTTGTTGCTCATCAGAAACTGCAGAAGAGGAAATTAATGAATTTGTATTTTGCGTCGTTGACAATCCAGTTTGATTTTGTTGCACTACAGTATTTGACGAAGTTGTTGTCACTTTCGATACAGACACTGTAGTATTTGTTGGTGTTTTTGTACTGTGGTTATCTTGCAAATTCTTCGTATCCATAGACTGTACGCGTTCTGATTGTTTAATATCTAATTTTTTGTCATTATGCAAATGTAACTTCTTCTCTTTCTTCTCTTTTTTCGAATACGTGTTATTAATATGACTTATTTTTGGTTGATATTGTAATTTAGTACTTAATGCATCGATCTTTGATCCTGTATTAACCGTTTTGATATCACTTTTCATATGATATTTATCACTTTCAGGCTTTGTTCCTGTACTAATATTATTATTAATATTAGTTACTGGCAATTCTTTGTCTTCTGCATTAGCAGTAACATTAACATGATCCTTTTCATTATTTTGACTTTCCTCTACCGAGTTAGATATTTTCTGAACGTGTGCCGGACTTTTCTGTCCGTGCGAAGGCGACGTATGTACGTTATTATTAAACGTAGCATCATCCATTTCTTGTGCACTTTTGGCATTTGTATTAATATCTTGTGTATTTTTAAGAGATTTCATCTCTGTGTTAACCCTTTGTGAATTATTTATTGGATCACAAGCAGCATTTAAAGAACTCGCCGAATCCGTTTCTAAAATAAGGTCACTTGCTGCGGTAGATGGAGAGTTTTTCAAATTCAAAAAAATATCGGAACTCTTTATACCACGCATGTCACTTCCTAACATAGCTTGTGTTGTATCTTCGATAGCTTTATTACAACTTAGATTTGTCATTAAAGTATCTGATTTCTGCGCAGTTTCAACAGTCGATATAATTCCTTCGAGACGCACTTGATCTCTCACTTCTTCTATTCTTGTACTTCTCTTTAACCCTGAATTGGATATATCGGTAATACTCATCACACCTGTTTCAGATATTTTTAATTGGACTTCTTTCCATTCACGATTTACTTGTTGATTATCTGCTTCTACGCATTCTATTCCAGAGTTAACTAATGACTTTTTAAAATTAATATTATCCTCTGATAATTTTATTCGTTTTGGAGAAGATTCAAATATCCTGTAACTTAGATGTAACGGCACTTTCTGAAATAAATACATATATGTAATATCTTCATTTTATTTATAATCATATTGCATTCTACAAATCATTTAAATTCAAATTATTGTAATGATTAAAAGATAACTTACCCGCCTCCAATGAAAAATGTACATGATATCCATTAACGAGTAACTTTTATCTAATGCTTCCTCTTTAAACATAATGTCAACTCTATGCACATCACAGAGTCCATATTTAGCTCTTATTAATTTCTGCAAATGAAATACCGTTACTGCCGCTGGACAACGAAAATATCTTCGTTGCAAAAATTTAGCATCCTTTGTAAGATTCGCATCAGTGTTATCTTTTGACTGTGGATCAAAATATTGTAACGAAAGACTGATAGATTCGTCTTGCATATATATATGTGAATCTACAGGATCTCCATATGCTTCAGGAGAAACTTTACTTTTTTCTTCTGGATGATTTACATAAAAATCTTGTCTAAGACGCATTTCGTCTAAAATAAATAATATAATATTTAGAAATATATATTTAATTAATTAATTACAAACTTTGTTTATATTTTCATGCTAGTAATTAATAATCTTACTTTGATAGCAACCAGGTACAATCTTATAAACAATATCCTGCAATGTGTGATCTGGTCTAATATTCAACAAAGGTTTACTTTTATGGACCTGAACTTCACAAATTGGACAATATTTGCTTTTTTCCAAATATTTAACTATACAACTCCTACAAACTAAAAACCAAATAGATAATACACAAATATATGTCATTTTAATTGCATTATTGAAAAATAAATCTATGTTCATAAAAAAAAATTACTTACACGAATGCAAACATTCAATGATGGTGGTAGCGTCTATAAAGTAACCGCTGCATAATTTACATGTTAATTGTTCGTTTAGTTTGACCAAACATAATTTCTTTCCACCGCTCTGCCCTGACATTCTAAAACATACAAGCATTTTAGAATTAACTATTATATTAACCCTTAGAGTGCTATGGACGCATATATGCGTTTTGTAAAAATGTAATGTAATGTAATGTTTATATTAATTAATTAAATTATATTCAGAAACAAAAACTGTAATTATTAAATATAATTTATTATTAGAATCTAGTTAATAATAAATTATTTCGTTCCTATAAAATATTTTAGTTAAAAGTATTCAGCACTCAAAGGGTTAATAAGTTATTATTATTTCATACACATTTATAATAATAAATTACTTGGTCTTGACAACAACACGTTAAATGGTATCCCAATAAATATAGTAATATTTTATATTTTCTTCCAAATTATATGCATATCTATATCTATATATATAGATATAACGATGATAACCTAAATATAATTTGGTCGTACAAAAAATGATAAAAAAGTAAATAATCAATGATAATATATTTAAGAAATATATATTTAATATGTTTAAAATATAGATGTTGTATATAACACAAATAAATATAAAATACCCACATAAAAGTTAACTTAAGAAATTTTGTATATCCCTAAAGAACATTCAGTGTTGTGATCTAAATCATGATATGATAAAAAAGCGTTAGCAATGTTAACATAGCCTATATTGTATTTTACTAATGGTAATTAATATACAATAACACATTCAATTATGATAGTAAATTAAAATAATATACAAAAAGATCTAAAAACTGTTTAATAAAAATCCAGTCTAACATAGACTACGTTTTAATTTAAACCAATAGCTGTGTCGATATTAAGTATCACGATTCAAATGATCTTTGAGATCACTAATGTAGAAAAACATTGATATGAATTCAATAAATATAATTTGTTCTATTTTGATATTAACAAGTGTTATTTATTGTAAACTTACTTGACAAATGGGGCAAAAATCATCCGTTTTATTTGGTAATCGCCATTTGGCCTCAAAAGTCAGGAAAGCTGGGTCAAAAGACGGGGCACCTTCTCACGGATTGTCATTATGGTATCGCCCCAATAATATTATTTTCACATTATACAAATAACACAGTTTTAATTTGTAAGATCTGAAAATACAAGGGTAACCAAACCCAATTCGATCAAGTTAATGACATAAATTCATATTAAAACAAGCCACAATGCCACTAAAAACTGCGCGTACGGCAGTAAAACAAAATGGCGGATAAACAATCATGTAAATGACATTTCTAAAAACATCGCGGTTATTGTCCAATTTAGTCGAAACATTAAAATGGCTGTCGATATTTTCTTATTATAATAAATGTCTATACGTTCTTTTAAACTTAAAATATAATCGTGCATCTTGTAATTGATTAAAATCAAGAGATTTTATTGACGATCAATTCGAGCCTCGATAAAACGCGTACAAAATTTCTATTCCCGATTGGCGATCATTTTATGGTGAATTTTCATGGACCAATTAATATCCCGACATTCTTACGTTTCTATTGGTAGTAGTTTTACAAAAATAGCGTTATATAAATCGTCAATAAAAAATTAATGTAAGTGTTTGTTGATTGGTTCTTACTTGAAAGCACCTAGAAAATCTTATTTTATCATTGGTCAATTCAACTCAAGAAATTCAAAAATTGATATAAGTGTTCATTAATTGGTTCTTACTTGAAAGCACCTAGAAAATCTTATTTTATCATTGGTTAATCCATCTTTAGAAATTTTCCGAATTTTCACAGTTAAAGAATTGAATTAATTTAATACTAATATACAATGTCTACGTATGTTCATGTGTTCTACTTATATCTGCTACTTTAAGCTATGCGTCATTCGTTGTGGTATGTTTCTTCTCTAAAAGAAAACCCGGCTATACATTTTAATAACTTGAATGTCAAGTTGTTGTCTTTTTTAGGGTGGTTTTTTTTAATGACAATTCAATTATTAATTACAAAAACGTTGTACTATAGTAAGTGTAACATATATTAATATAAAATAAATCTAATCATCCAAATAGATTGAAAGACGTAAGAGAAAAGATAATACAGGGAATTTCACACAGGTTTACCTCCCTGACGGGTATGGTTGTCAAATCATTATTATCGTATATTCCATTTTCCTTTTATGTTATCTTTTTTTCCTGTCATTATAAATAGTATTTTGTCATTATGAAAAGTAGTGACAACTTTGATTATTATTCTTTAATTTTCATTCAATGGAAAATATCCAAAATCATTTTGCAATTTCAATTTATTACAACAATTAATTGATAATCATCTTCGTAATCTTATTTTCATTCACCAATGTGTCAAAGTTAATTATCTATTTAGATATTTTCATGTAATACTTTTTTCATTTACATTTAAAGATCATTTTAAGACAATGATATGTAACATGTGTGTGTGATACAATTTGTAAGTAAACAAATTTATATAAAAAAATAAATCATACCATTTTTAAGAAGAAAAACATTTTAAGTTAAATTTTGTATATAAAACTCAAATAAATTAATTTATTATATATTTTATGTTTGCAGAAAAGTTTCAAGAACAAATAACGTTTATTTGCTTTTCTATAACTTGACAATCTTGCTAATCGAATAATAAATAAACTTGAGGATCAAATAGACTAATAAAAAAAAATTGACAAGTACGTATAAACATACAACCTATTACAATGTTACGTATTAACATATTCATCGACAAAAATTTTACTTATGAAATATTTCTTTAGATATTTATATATTTTATATATTTATTTATGTATTTTATATATTTGTTTATATATTTTATACATTTTATTACTGTTGTAATGTTTTACGTAGTAACATATTTATTGATAAAGATTTGACTTATGAAATATTTCTTTAAATATTTATATGTTTTGTATATTTATTTATATAATTTATATATAAAATAATATAATATTTCTTTCTTTATTTATTTATTTATATATTCATTTATGTATTTTATATATTTATTTTTATATATTTTATATATTTATATATTTTATACAACCTATTAGTGTTGTAATATTTTACGTATTACCATATTCATTGACAAAGATTTGACTTATGAAATATTTCTTTAGATATGGAGTGGTTATTTGGAAAACGTATAACTCCTGAAGAAATGCTCAGGAAAAATCAACGAGCATTGAATAAAGCAATGCGTGACCTTGACAGAGAAAGAATGAGGATGGAACAACAAGAAAAAAAGATTATAGCTGATATAAAAAAACTTGCTAAAGATGGACAGATGGTGAAAATATGACGAAAACTTAAAAAAAATAAAATATAGATAAATTAATTACCACTATATAATTATTAAACTTAATGTTAATAGGATGCTGTTAAAATTATGGCTAAGGATCTTGTTAGAACTAGGCGATACGTCAAGAAATTTATGTTAATGAAAGCGAATATACAGGCAGTTTCTTTGAAAATTCAAACATTACGTTCTCAAAATACTATGGCTCAAGCTATGAAAGGTGTTACAAAAGCGATGCAAAATATGAATAAGTAATGTCATATCTCCATTTTGGCTAACATACTCATCGTATTATCTAAAAGATAATCTACAAATTCTTATCGTTGTTTCTTTTTTTTTCAGACAATTAAATTTACCACAAATACAAAAAATTTTGCAAGAATTTGAGAAACAATCAGAAATAATGGATATGAAGGAAGAAATTATGAATGATGCGATAGACGATGCTATGGAAGATGAAGGAGACGAGGAAGAAAGGTAAAATATTAAATTGAATTCTTTTTCATTACAATTAGACATAAACATAAGCAATTGTTAGCAATTTTATACAACTTTGACTTAATAACATTGTATTACAGCGATGCCGTCGTATCTCAAGTATTAGATGAGTTAGGCTTACAATTAACAGATCAATTATCCGGACTTCCTCAAACTTCCGGTTCCTTAAGTATAGCAGGATCAAAACAACCGGTTGCAGCTACCGCAGGAAACGACGATGGAAGTCTCGCAGATGCCGATGCAGATCTTCAAGCAAGACTTGAAAATCTTCGTCGCGAATAAAAAGGAAAAGACAACTAATATATATATATATATATATAGGATTAATTTTAATTAGATATTACAATCGAATATATTTGATGCTTCTTCGAGTTGTGCTTGAAATAAATGTCAAATTTGTATTCGCTTGAAAAAATTACACATTTTGTAAAGCTCCTTTCAGTAATCAGATACGGTTTTGCATAAAAAAAAAAACAATATTATTTTTACACGATTGTTTTGTAAAAACGTTGTGACTTCAACATTAACTAAAAGTAGTGTTTAATATACAATGTAATAAAAGATACGTTATTTTAAAGATAGATTGTTAATTATTGTTAAAGTAATCGAATGAATTGAATTTCTTATAACAATCAGTAATATCTATTAAAGGAAACAAATGAATCTTCGAAAAAAAGCATTATTCAAAAAAATCAACGTTTATATTATATATTCTTGCACAAATGATTATATTTAATAGGAATAGTATTAAAAAAATATTTTTTGAAGAAAATATATTATTTACTCTACCTCTTACTTACCATTATAAATCATATTACCTTTTATAAGAAAGATTTTTATTGATTATTCTCAAATTCGCATTAATATTGCAAATTTTTACAAATGTAATTGTGTAATTGTCCAGGGAGAAATATTTTTCTAATAATCGTTCGTTATATTTTTTTTTTGTTCGTTACATTGTCTCCTTAAACGTATCGCGTAATAAATATAAAACATTAAATGAATTGACTAAAAAAATGTTATCGACGTCATAACGTTTATTATAGAGAAAATGCTACACTGCGTTTCTTTGGAATAATGTAAGAAAGTGCATAATATTGAACAGCATAAAAGTGATGATATCCGTTACTAGATTACAATTGTACAGTTCGTATGTAAAAAAAATTATACATAGTTTTTACATTTTTCGTATATCTTACCTCGGAGGTATGAAGAAAGCAAGTTGTGGGCAACAATATACGAACAACGAACTACAACATCGCATTCTTTAAACGAGTGCAAATTCGCATTTTATCCAATTACTTATTTAAGACAAAATTTTATATTGACATAATGCAAAATATTCAATGTATAATCGTAAACATAAATTATATGAAAAGAAACTAAATGATAAATCTAAAATACAATGAAGTAGTAGTATAAATATCAAATGGTAGGACTTGTATTGTCCAAACATATACATTAAGATAATTACCCTAGAATTTAAAATAACAATATATATTTATATATATTTCATATGCCTGCTCTGCCAAGTTAACCTGGAAGCAATGCTATACAATATTTATCATTTTTATTATTTAATGTAATATAATATAAGAGAGAAATATAGTGTGAGACAAAAGCAAAAAAACAAACAGTTAATTGAGAATATACAAATTATATTAAATAATTAATAAAATTGACGCGAAACCAAACTTGATATTATTTATTGCTAATATAATTTCCATCTCGGATAGTATTGTGTTTCTATTTATTATAGATATTATATTTTCTAAGCATAATAATATTGAATAATCAAACTAAATGATACACCACAGATAGAACACTTTGTATTTTCTAATACATTATGTCAATTTATTGTACTAGAATCTTTTCTATAGATTTCAAGTTATTATTATTTATAATTGATCTTTTATATCTATTATAAACAGAGATTACACAATACCGACCAAGAATTGTTTTATTGTTAGAAAAGTGTTATTATGCGTGCATTTATAAGAGAGAAATTGTTTTTTCATATATTTGTATTCAAAGTAACAGTTGCCTATGTACTATATTATATAATCATCATTAATAATATTAATAATGACTAAAGCCATTATATTGTAATACTAAGTTTTTGATAGTATCAAACAAGGTACATTCAAAATATCAACTCAATGCTTTCCAGGTTAACAAAGGAATATTAATTACATTTGAAACTTCTAAAGTATCATCATTTGTAACTAAATCTTTCACACTTTAAGAACATGCTCATATTAATCATTCAGCCTGTCTATACAGACAAGGCTCAAGCACTTCACTCATATTTTATACTACTTATTCTAATACTTCATATTTGTCTTTGAAACAATGTGACAATAAGCAGTATTTACAAATACAACATCACACGACTCTTCTTGATATAAGTTATATTTCAACGAAGTTGAATAAATTCTGTATTATTCTTCTTCTTTTTCAGAGTTACCGTCATGATATTATCTTGAAGTCTTAAATAATTTCTTTAAAAATATTGTGCTAAACTAGAATTACTAGTATAATTCTTTATACTATTGACACACGTTGTTCTTAATTCGATAATGTCATTTTCAATTTTAAAGGAGTTAGTAAATCTCATTGACAATAAAATATTTTACATTATTATAATTGTACATTTTCATGATATTTCGCTAAACCACAAAACTACTGTATTTTCATAAATTATTACATGTATCTAATGCACTAGTGGCAAAAGAAGATTCTTGTACCATACATATGCCGTATGTGGACCGCAATAGCTCCAGAGAAAAGTTTTCTTGGAACTCAGTGTAATTGTTACCGTTAAAGTGTATCCATTAAAATTTGATATTTTATTTCATAAGTGAATTCTTATATTACCTCAGTTTTCACTATATATACTGCAGTATGTACACCTGTACCTACAAATCATGTAGATACATGCAGTATCTGTATTCTTCCTGGTTATTTCATGAATTAACAAATTTCATGTTTTAATGGTAACAATTGTGTTTAAAAATGATAATACATTTAACTTGCAGTCTCTGCATTCAATACATCACTGTGTAAACACTGTGCAAAAGGAGAACGATTGGACTATTATTTAAATAGGTACATCATTTTGTTCTTCCTCTTATTACGAAATATTCTGTAAAATGTTTATATTACTGTTTCCTTCTTCTTCCTCTTCTTCTTCCTAAAATAGCACAGAGATCAATATAGTATTAATTTGTATTAATGAATAGTAATATTATTATGTTACAGATCTCTGAAGCAATATAAAAGATTATGATTCAATATTAAATAGAATAACTTACTTCATCAAAACCAAAACATGTCTCCATCTCTTTTTGCAATTTCGGATCACTTTGCGTATTTTGAGATGAAGATTTGTTTGTGTTACAAGACGATACAGGTTCAATTTTGATTTCCTGCATATTGCTATCATCCTCTTCGACTTCGCAACCTTCTTCTCCCGTTCCATCTACCATACTGTTGTCTTGACTCAAAGGATCTTGCATCACCAAATCTCCATCTTCGCTAGCTACCACAGCCATCTGTTATATATGTGAATGTATTAATAATAATATCGATTATATATAGTATTATTTTAAATATTAAACTACCTGCTCGGAGCTTTGATTGTCAGCTAATTGAATTACTTCTAGTACAACATATTGTTGCCCATCACTTCCTTCTACCGCCATCATATCATCTTCATCTTCTTCCTCTTCTTCTTCATAACCTTTAAGTTTAGAAGCTAAGTCACCTGTTATCACAACATATATCCACGGATATTAGTCAATGATGTGTGTTAACATCATATCGTAAGTTTCCTTGCCAAAAAAAATGAACATATACATAATACATATTCCTAGTAACCTTTTGTGTTCATTCATCACACAAATTTATCAAATTTTCTATAATTTCTAGTAAATTAATATCATTACGTGTTATTTTATAATAATGAAATTACATATGCATATGTTCGTAAACAATTAAATATGAAATAAGTGTAAAGATCACATTATCATACCTGTCAAAACTTCAACTCTTTGACCATCGATTATTTGAATTTTCTTTTGTCTACCCATCTTCAGGGCTTGTTGTTTTTCTTGTAAAGATGATTCTGGATCATGAACAGCCATGTGTCGAATAAGGTTTCCTTTGTGTCTGATAAAATAAAATAATTGTTTCACTCTTTTTCTTCTGTTAGCAAAAAATAATATACCCTACAAAGTAAACATACCTGAAAGGTCTTTCGCACTCAGGACACTGATGAGTTTTTTCTTGCGGCGGTGGAGGAACATAATTTGGATTATGATAAAGATTACAATGACGTTTAAGCAATTGTTTTTGTCTGAAAGACTGAAAACAATGATCGCATTGATATGGCTTTTGATCCGTATGGATCAGCATATGACTTTCCAAGTGACGTGCAGAAATTGATGCATACGGACATAAGTCACATTTGTAACATTTTTCTCCTTCGTGTGTTTTACTATGTAACTTATAGCTATACCTAGAATGTAAAAGTAAAATGTCTAAGCGCGATTGCTAATATAATAAATATTAAATATATCTATTATTCTATTTATTACCTGTCGGGGAATGTTTTTCCACATCTTTTACATTTTAATGGTTTGTCCGAGGTATGCAATTTCTGCACGTGAATTCTAAGATCGGTTTTTCTTCCGCAAGTAGCGGGGCATAATTCACATTGAAAAACAGGTTTGTCACCTACTACGAAATGTATGATGTTACTTCTTATATATAAATAGTATATTAAAATATAATAGAGAAGTAATATGAAGTGAAATCAATTAAAGAATAGTCAGATTGTTATTATTATTAAAAATAGTTATTATTATTATTATTATTTATTAACGTATTTACCATTATGTATTAACTTGTGTGCTTTTAAACTATTTGATTGTGTAAACCTTGCTTGGCAAAAATCGCATTCATATGGCTTTTCGCCTGTATGTATACGAAGATGACGTTTTAATTTAAAGGTATCAGGACTGGCGTACGTACAATGTGGACACTAAACATAATAAAGATAATCATTAAAAAAAAGAGATTTTTATTAAAAGATTCAATTTAAGAAACTAACAAAAAGGAGACTGCATAAAAAGTACCTGATAAGGACGTTCTCCCGTATGACATCTTATATGTCGTTTTAATTTAGATAATTCAACCGAAGCATAATCACATTCTTGACATTTATGCGGTTTTTCATGAGTATGCCTGTACCTTACGTGTCTCACAAGTTCACCTTAAAAAAAAGTAGTCGTTGAATTGATATTTAATATAGGGTTTGAAGAAAATCATGTAAAAAATGTTACACACACACATACCAGATGTAGTAAACGCGCTATCACAAAATTTGCAGTGGTGAGGTTTGGTCCCGGTATGTGTGTTAACATGATTTTGAAGGGAAGCCAAAGTTTTAAATCCCCTCTCGCAAACACTGCATTTGTGTGGTCTTTCTTCCGAATGAGATTTCATATGCCGCGACAACAAGTACCTGAATATTAAATTACTTTTTAGTTTACATATATATATATATAAAATGAAACAAATGATTTTAATTTAACATACCGTTTGGGACTGGTGTAATTACAATAATTGCACATATGCGCTTGGGTTACAGTTTGTGATTTCTTTGGAATAAACTTAATTATTTTAGTTTTATCATCTTCTACTTCGGATTCTACGGGAGCTTCGTTATCTTCGTTATCTTCAAAATCATAAACAGTCAAGTCTTGTTCGCCTTCTGCTTCTTCTACCTCTCCACTTTCACCTTCATTGGGTCTACTTTCCTTGTCCTCGGATTCTGGTTGTTGTACTATCAAAACGTAACTAACTTCACCAGGATTAGTGTCGGATGGTACTATAGTAACGGTTTGATAAGCATCTCCAGAGTTAATTACAACTTGATTGTTTCCGTTGTTTGAAGCTTGACCCTAAAGATACAATAACAAATAACTTGTAATAACAAAATTTAATTATAAAATATAAAAGTAAAATCACAAATAAAGATCATATCTTACATCTTCATCTCCGTCAACATTTTCCAATTCTTCTATCTCATGATATTGTTCTTCTTGAGTAACTTCGCCTTCTTGATGAGCGTCATTTTCTTCAACTTCTTGAATTTGTACTTGAGTCATTACAGGGGTTTCATCGCTATTTGCCTGATAATAATATTGACCAGTTTGATCGATAAAGTAGGTACCACCTTCTTCTCCTCCTGATAATCCTTCCACTTGGTGCACTATAATTACAAATGTATACATATATCTATATAGTTCTTTTTACATATTTATGATTGTTGAATGGTAATATAATATAACTATATTAACTAACACTCAACATGCTGAGGTTGTTCTACTTGTCCGACTTCTATTTCCTTGTTAAATGTTTCAAGATAAGTTTGAATCTCTCGTACAGATTCCTGTCCCTCTTCCAACTTTATTGTTGCAACGTTGCTCGTCATGATCATTCCATTAATTCATACAACTGTTTGTTTACTTACAAGTCTGCAACATTAATATAGAAATATCTATTATGCTATTGCTTGTAAATTACAAACCATTAAAAAGTAGATGGAGTTGCTATAAGAATAACTCAAATTAATAAATAATTATTATATCTTTGTATACAAATATAATGATGACTAATCGGTATTAATTTGATATACTCAATATATAATAGGAAATAAAACAAAAAGATTAATTGCATATTTGATAAGACAAAAATCAATAAAGAAACATATTGTACAATTGGGGAAGTGGTGTTTATCTCATTAGAATGATACAAAATAAATAGTTTTATCTTAAGAATGATTCTTTTCAATCATACGGAATCTACACGTGGATCGTACAAAGTGCAAGATAAAACATATGATGCTTTTTTCATCCCCATGTGATCTTGGGAATGCATATATAAGGGAAGCATAAATTTACGAATTAAGGAAGATAATAATCGATCACAAGACAAAAATAATGTAAGAACGTTAAACGTGTTACAAGGGCAAATAACCACGATTACACGTGGTTGTTAATGGAATATATTAAATGTCCTTATAAAGAAAAATCAAACGAGAAAATATACCGGAAATAATAAGGAATGCGACGCCGATAAGACGATGCGATAAAACACGAATCGTAGTTGTATTTTAAAATTAAAGGAAAATCAATAATCATGATAAGAAAAGGAGAAGGTGATTCGCGTGTAAGAGAGAGCGTACGGATAGGAAAGACAGAGAGGAGGGGGGAAGGAAGTAGAGAAAAGAAGGCCGATTGGAATACTACATAATTTTGAAAGGTCCGCTGCTCATTTGCAAGGACAAAAAATAGGTGCATTGAGGAAACGTACATAAAAGATAATCGAGGAGGGGGGGAGGAAGAGAGGAAAGACGCCATGAAGGAGACTCCTCCTTAAGGGCCCCTTAAGAGAGCCTCCTCCAGAGGAAGAGGTCGACCCAGGAGTCGAGCCAGGAGTCGGGCCAGGAGTCGAGCGAGCCCCCCGGAAGAGGGTTCGTTCGAGAGTCGTTCGGATACGGAAAAGTTGCCCTCGATAGAGGAGAAAGATGGGGTCTCGGATGGACCTGGGGGGAGTCCGTGATCGCGTCTTTTCGACGTCGAGGAGCCCGAAGTCGCGCATTCTGTCGGGGAGCTTTTAAGACAACGCGGTTGCTTTCGATTTCAGGACACAGGGGGCATTAACGACAAAAATTTCACAAAATTATCACCGTCGGCGCTGTCATCAATATGGAGGACGCGACCGAGAGGAATACCTTCCGTACTGCTACGCGCTTACACACTTATTTCCCGCGTTTCTTTTAGTATCGGTGAACGTCGTTGCTTACTTTCCGTAATCTTGAATGTTCGAATATACGAATAAATGAATTTGTCGAGCGCACGAAGCGTGCTCATCCACGATAGCTTATAAATATCGAAATATTCCCTTACCTCGTAAACTCGCGATCGTTCGCGTGAGGGCGTTGTGTAAGATCCAGAATGCAATATGGCTGATCGAACTACAAAGTGGTAAGGAAGGTTCAAATGCTGCGTGTTGGCAGCTGCGCGGTAGAACGCGTCATTCGTCGTGTTTACACCGGACGACTGCTGCCACCATTGCCACTAGTAATGTCACCATCCTTAACCCGTTTCCGCTATTTCCGGCCATCGAAGGCATTTTCAAATCACCATTCGTTTTACGAAACCTAATCACCTTAAATTTTTATAGTTATCATCCAACAAATTCTTATAATCGATTATAAATATTCGTTGAATATGCACCTTTAATAATCGATTTAAATACGATCGAACTTTCGATATCGACGCATTGAAGAAAAAGCGGGAAGAAATAAATATCGCAAGGACACATTAATTAGCTTCTCGTTTAGATCCAATCGTAACCTTTTAACGATACGTTTATAAAACGTCATTCTTTTGAGCGGGAATTTTAAAAATTAGATTTTGTTTCTAGATATTCTTGGAATATTTTTTATCCATCAAATCATATTGCATTACAATTTATGTAAATATAAAACATTCATCAAATAATAAAAGAATTCAAAGATCTTTAAATAGGGGTTAAACAAAATAAAATTAATTAGTATAAATCTACATTAAATAAATAAACAATTGTATATCTACACATTGCCATTTCCAAATAGATAATACTACCATTATACAATTTACATGTATATATGTGTATATATATATATATATACACACATTAATGTAAAAGTTACAAAATATAATTAAAGTTATACAAAATTTACAAAAATAGCTTTGAGATGTAATAGTTTAAGTAGCTCTAAATTTCATTGTATTTTATAACAAAGCTCATAATACTTATTATTTGATATAAAAATTAATAAATAGGAAAAGAAAATATATTAGACATAGTAAAAATTTGAGATAAATATAATTCTATAATAGTAATCTTTTTTTTTCCCATAGTAATCTAAAAAAAATAATGACTTAGCAAAACGTTATTCATGCCTAAATGCTTGAATCCTATAAAGAAAATCATATTCAGAAATTGTCCCCCATGTTTTAAGCTAAATTTTATAAATTATCATATTTTATATACCACGATGAATGTGGCAGTTGTCAAGATCAGTATTTTGTATAGCACTTCTTAAGATATATATAATTGCAACTGCCATAACGATTGTTAATATTATAGAAAATATTTGCAAATACTTTAATTCCTTGTATAACTTGTTGCAATTTTCTTCCAAATGAATTACCTAAAAAATACAACGTTTAATATATAAATTTGAAATATATTTATCCAGAATGTAATATATTTATTTTGATTTCATATACCTTAGAACAAAGTGCGTCAATCATACGATTTTCTTCCGTAGAACCGGATGATAATATAGAATACGTTTTCTGTACTTCGTTATTTTCATTTGCTCCATCGTAACATCTTAATCTGTGTTGTTCGGTAGGTTTACCAGACTATACACGAATAAATAATTATTACAACAAATTATTTAACGTTATATTTGTATGTCATATCATAATTTTCCAATATATTTAAAGAATACCTTCCATATCGCCATTAATTCTTGTGCAGTTGCAGTAGAATTTTTAACAGGAAGACACATTACCAAAAATCTATCATTGTTCGTTAGACCACGTAGATTGTATCCTGGTTGAAAAACAACTGTAACGCTGCACCGTTCGGAAGGAGATATAATACCTGAACTAGGTCTTACCCTGAATTTTTGCGGCGATGTTGTTTTGACCTAAAATATAATTATATATTTTTTAAAATAAATAATCAATAATATACACGACAAACAATTGTATTAAATTGCACCTTGTAAGACAAATATTTGTCTGTTGTGATATTTTTTAATATAATCCTGGCAATGATTTCATTTCCTTCTTTGTTAAATGTAACTGCTTCTGGTTCGATAGAAAGAACTGTAAAAAAGAAATTAAAAGTAAAAAGACTTTTCTTTTTACAATACAATGCAATTTTTATTTCTTTATCTATATATATAAATCTAATGCGTACTTACATTGTTCTTCATTTACTTGATCTCCAAAACCACTTGGAGGTTGTTCCGTCAAAGGAGAATTTTCTACAAAATGTACCTGTGTAAATTTGATAATTATAAATAAATAATAAAACAAAATTTATTTAAAATTATACTGGTTCATGATATTCGAATAAAAGGATAGATACCTTTTTGTTATCGAGTTTATCATTTATTGCATTTTCCGTGCTTGTTTGCTCTTCTGGGATAAAAACAAAGGTATAGTCATTTGTACCACCCCAACATCTAAGTATGTCATTTGGTTCAACGAAATCCTTTAAATTAGATTTATTAACAAATTTTATCTTTGGTATTGCCTTAGCAGGTAGCCATGATTTTATTATCTTAAAAGCTGCATTTAATACCCATGGCATTTCAAATATTATAATATAATTTAAAAAATTTGGATAATAAGATTTGAATAAACCAATCAGGTACTTAGTGAATTCCATATCTAGATTAGAAAGTCCAGTTTCTGCCATATCAAAAAATATTGATATTTGATTTCCATTTCCCTCTCTACAAACATAAATAACAGATTAGTATGTGAATACATTTTAAGTAAAAAACGTAATACATACAAGTCATTATTTATATTTAAATATAATACGATATAATTATAATTTATAATTACATATACATTTATGTAATATCATTATATAATTACATATACATTTATGTAATATCATTATATAATTACATATATATTTATATAATATTATTATATATATATATATATATATATATATAAATAATTATAATTATAATTATTTATAAATATATTATAAATAATCTAATGTAAACGTTAGATATTTATTAAAGATAAAATAATTTTACCTTTCTAATCTTTCAAACCAATAAATGATGACTCTCTGAACATCACTGAAATCCTTTGCTCCTTTTACATGTTGCTTGGATTTAATAATAAAAAGAGTTTTGCCATCTTTATCTTTACCATAAGGAAAAACCACTCCATCTTCTAAATAATCTCTTCTTATGTTATCCTCTGAAATATCTAGATATAAAAGTAGGAAGATTAATTATTATGTTTCATTGATTATTTTTTATAATATTTTCAAATAATAGAATTAATTTAAATTAATATATGATACTTGCCATTTGCACCAATTTTTCTTCTCCAAGTACAAGATTCCCAAAGCATAGACAAAGATTCTTGTAAATCATTTTCATTATGTTCTAAAAATCTTTTTAACCAATCATCAGTATGTTTTATTCTATCAATATCAGCTGGATGAAAACCTCCTATAATATATTCAAAAAATCCACAAATATTATTATAAATATTTCAACGTAAACTTGAAATGTCATGAGATTATATTTCAACGTTTCATTTTCATATACGGATATGAACTTGTCAACTTGTTCACGCATAATTAATTATTACAAATTATTTCCAATTAAAAGAATAATAGAAGTACTTCTATACGTATGACAGATATAGTTTAAAGTTTAAAAATAATTAATTTGTAAAGAAAAAGAATATTGATAAACACGTACTAGGATCAGATGGTGTTTCTTCCTCCAATTTTTTAAAGAATTTTTCACGAAGTTCTGCAATAAGTTCAACACGCGTTTCCATCTTTGATTAAACTTTGACCGGCTCCAAGTTATGATGATGGACAAATTAGTTTATTATTTATTCATACGTTCAATATTCCTCTTAGAAATCGTTTATCTTCTTCTCGTATAATATTACTTTTATTTAAACTGTTAAAATACATATATAGATAATTTATATTAAATGTCACACGTATAAAATGATAAGATTGCAAAATTACTAAAAAAAAAAAAAAATGAAGCAAACGATATATAATATTCAACACTAATCCATTGAATGGGATGTTAACAAATATGTATAAACCAATTTGAAATAAGATAGCATATCGTATTAACAACTATTATTTCTTTTCACCAAGAACGCTGGATTCTTTAATCATCATTAAAGTTCGCACGTGTAATTTCTACTGTAAACAAATATTCTGATTAGTTACAATAATCCTTTCATCCAATTGAAAACTCGTATCGTATAGTAACATCGAATGAAATATTCATTTTATTTTCTTATGACATTCACATTCTGATTGGTCAACGAATAGTTTTCTTTAGGTATTTATAGTTACATTGAAGAATTCATTTGAAAAGTAGATAAAAATAACCTATATAATAATTCAGATTTATTTTCATCCCAAATTAGCAGATTTTGTTTTTAATAAATAGAAGAAATAGGAAAATGGTCAGTATCATTCGTATTTATCCAACAATTATGATTTTTATTGGTTATGTAAATGAATTGTTAACATATGGAAAAATTAGTGACCCTCGAATTACCTTAGACTTTGAAAAGGTACACAAATTGTTATTATTTATAAATTGTATTATTTTGAAGAGTTAAATACTCTCGAGAATCATAATATCACGTCAATATTTATTTGTCATGTCGAAAACGTTTTATGGTTAAAGTGATTTGCTTACTCGTGAATAATTCAACATACTCGCCTGACATTATTATGTTTTTGGATATCCATCTAGTTCAATCCATATAACATTTTTTTAAATAACGAAACATTTGAAAATTTGGACGATGTCCACAATACTATTTTCAGATATTTTGCTGAAAAAAGCAATTGATTTTTATCGATCCTTCATTGAAAATTTGCCCACCAGATGGCAAAATGTTATTGATAACGAGGGGCGCGATTTATATCGTTGATTCAAAATACAAACTAAATTTTATAAAAATTTAGTTTTGTTTTGTATTTAATTTTAAAAATTTAAATTATCTCATTTTTTAAATTTAAAAAATTTAATTTTGTTTGAATTTAATATAATAAAAAGACATTTTTCGTTACCCCCTCCTCTCGAACAGAATTATCAATTAAAAGTATAAACAATAAATATATTTCTAGCAAAGAGACGTTAAAAATACTCTTACGTGTAGATAATCAATACAAGTTAAAAAAACGATTCATATCTGTGCATTATAATAACCCATATATAAAATAAACGATTTTAACTTAGTAATAAAGAATTTGGCAACTTAATAATTTATAAATTACAATGTGACTCGCGTATTATATTATCTCGTTAACTTAAGAATCATTTTATAAAGAATGATCTTTAAAAAAAGTCTCACAAGTATAATTTAGTATTTTTCGATAGCATTTTTATAAAATGTTTACATGAAGAAATATTTACAAAAATATGAGAGCAGGACATGGTGAAATGTAGAAGATAGGAAAAAGGGACGAACAATGTAGCTCGATGAACTTTTTAATTGAGAGTACCCCGACACTGCGGAGCTCCACAAAGGCAGGGTATTTTGTCATCCTCCAATGGAAATTTGTAATCATAAGTTATTTCTTCGTTAACTCCTATCGGTTGTTTACTGTAGATTACAATTTTCTTTTGGCTTTCTATAGTAATTACTTTTGCATAACAGTTTGGCTAAAAAAAAAAAAAAAATATCGGAAAATGCTTTGATTATATAAAAAGAAAATTAAAAGTCATTTGACTTTTGATTGACAATATTTATCGGCGGAATGAAAAATCTGTGGAGATACTCACATTGCAACTGTGATTAATGAATCTTGCTAGATTGCCACATTTAGTTGCATCGATAATCGTATCCAGATCAATACGGAATAGGTAAGAACTACCAATGCCTGTAGCTTCGTATTGAGACTCCCTTAAATCTGCAACAACTGGTCTAATCATTTGCCCTACATATTCTATAACCATTTCGTCTGCTGCAATCGGTTCCATAGCAAACAAACCCCAATCGTGAATGCCAGACTTGGCAAATTTCAATTGTTTTTTTCTGAACTGCAATGTAACAATAAGATGATAAAATAAACAATTGTCTTTGCATATAAAAATAATAATATAAAGGATAATGTTAGCATACTTTTAATTGATTAAACTTAAGGAGATCACTGTCGGTGTCTATTCCAAATGCGGTTAAAAGGCGACGTTGATTACTTCGCGCTTCTCGTGACAAAGCTTGCATCTTACCAGTCAATGCTTTCGTATTACCCTTTGGACCGTTTATTATGCCATCTCCTCCTGTATAAGTACTCTCCTCTACGTCGTTGGAACGTTGTATACTTTGTGCATAATGATGCTGTAAAGAATGAACATTGAATTTGAATTATAATTTTAATTATTTAGAGATTGAATATGAAAACGAACGGTTTGGTATATTTAATTTAGTATAAGAAAAATGAATTTACTTTATGTTTTGCTTTCTCCCTTAAATCTACTTTGTAGTATCCTTCGGTTCTTGCACTTCCAGTTGCATGTAATCTTAATTCGTCTCGTTTTCTTCTCTTAGCTGGGCTTGGTATGTCTGTTGCAGGATGGTCAACCCAATGAGTATCGTTTAACCAATATCCTTGAGCGTCATCAGCTAACAAAGCTTCATAACTTCTTCTTAAATATTCAACATCTTCCGCATCTATACCTCTGGTCAAGAATTCGTACAAAATACCCATTTCTGACATTAAATCTCTTTCCTTATATACTACTGGTGGTTCTTGAATATTCCTAACATATCTTTCATAAACATATTCATTTTGAATATTTTCCTTCTCTCCTTCGTGTTTCTGAAGATCATGTATTTTGGGATATTTATTCAACTTCCGTTTTTCGACCTTATGCACTTTATCTTTTCCTTTCGTTAACTTGCCAACCTTTGAAGCTTTTATCTTTATCGGTGATGGATTCATACGAACAACAGGAGGTGGTTCCACAGGTTCTGGAAGAGCTGGTGGTAAAGAATACGAATGTTCCATATAAACTTGAGATGCTTGTGAACCAGGCGAGCTTGGGCTTTGTTGACCATTTAATCGTAGATCGACTTCTGCTTGGAATTTTAATCTTCTTATTTCGAGACTTTCCTCTTCCGAATCTGTAGTAGGAATTTCACTGAACATATCAATTTTCTCTGATTCCTTAAGAATAGGTTCATCATTAATGTATTTGGCAGACAACGTTTGAAGAGTTCTAATGATATTAGGCTCGATAGGTCCTGGGCTTCTATGCCGTATAATATTATCCTGACCAGCTAATGTTATCAGTGCTTCTGCAGCTGAACTTTCCATTTTTTTCATATCTTGTTGAATCTCTTCCTTCTGCGGTAACTTGGCAATATACGTATTAAGTTTTTGCTGTACATCGTTCTCTAACCTCGGTTTGTTTGCATTAACATCTATAGGCTTCAACGTTTCCAATTGTTCTTCCTCTATCTTATTCTGATAATTTTCATTTAATCTGTCATTCGTGTCCTTATCATTTTCATATTTTCCTGGAGAAGCTGGTAATGGACTCTCACTGTTATCGATTTCAGGGAACTCATCTGAATTTAAATCTATTATTTTTATATCTGGCAGTGGAGTATCTCTACCGGTTGGAGTAGGACAATCCAAAGATCTTTGAATAGCCAGTTCCATTAATATATCTGGATCTTCGCTGTTACAAGCCAAAGGACGATGATCGGACATGCGACTATCCGTGTCTTGCTATAAATAAGATAAAGAAACAATGAATAAAAATGATTGATATTGATTTAATACTTGAGACACATTTTACGTACCTCATCTTCAGAGTTGTCTTCGTCCGAACTCTCGCTTGAACTACTAGAAGATTCACTGGAACTAGCTTCCTCGCTAGAACTTTCAGTGGATGAAGACGAAGACGAGGAAGAAGAACCGCTCTGAAGAGATGAAACTGGTCTTTTAACTTTTTGTACCGGTGGTAGATCTAAATCGCTATCGCTTTCTATGATTTCAGTATCAATACGATCTGATTGATGACTATCTTCGTCTTGAGGTAAAGGACTCGGAGCTTTAATTTTACGCTGTTCAACAAAATATAAATATATATATATATTGTATTTGATAGATAGACTTTTAGAAAAAATATTTTCATCTCATTGCTTACCCTAAATGAAGGCATCTTTGGCATACTAGCTCTGATACCCAAACCAAATCCATCGTAATTGAGACCCAATGGTGTTCCTTGCTCCAAAAGTAATGAAAGTCCTTGTGGTTTTGAATTTTCTTCTTTACTAGTATTATTAATAACAGCAACGTCTCCTCCTTGTGTTTGATTCTTTTCTGATTTTTTCTCATCCCACCAAACTTCAAATAATTTGTATGCAGTATTTTCTACCATTTTCTTATTAAAATCTTTTTTTAAAATTTGTTTCAGTTCATTTACAACTCTGTTTAATACACCATTGATGGTAGGACCCTAAATATAATACAATTTGATATAAAATTATGAGTAAAAAGAAGAATTAAATAATAACACTTACCTGCGGATTATCTTTAGTAATGTTATGATTTGCCATGGCCTGAAAGCGTGATTGGAAAGACGAGTAATAATTTGTCCCTTGATGACTCCCAACTGTTCCCGATAAAGATGCCGTAGTAGGTTGATAATGGCTTTGCAAGTAGGTCGTTCCATAAGGATAAGGATATTGGGCTGGTCTAGGCCAACTATAAACGTCTCCGGATGGATAATGACTTATATGACCAGGATAACCAGGCCCTGGATACAAGTGACTCGAGGGCTCGGGTTGAGCGATAACCTGTTGTTAAATCGTTTTGATTTTTTTATTTCAACTTCATAATTATTGTTACCTTATTTTTATAAAAAAAAATATTGTTACCTCTTCTATTTTTTCATCTCCCGAACTCAATGGACTCAAAGACATTCTATCGTCGTCAGGTGGTGGAGGAGGTGGTGGTTCTTTAGGTGGTTCTGGTTCAATTTCATCCGGTGCTGGGCTGTAACTTCCCAACAAGGCTTCATCTTCGCTAGAACTGATAACGCTGCCTAAATCTTCGTCGACGGAAAATTGATTTAGATTGTTCTCACGAGTTTTCCATCTTTCTTTATTTTTTTCTCTCATCTTTTCAAAACAAGATTTATATGCTTCATGAGATAAAAACGGACTCGGAGGATCCGAAAGCATTTCGTTATCGCCGTGTTGTGATTTTTTATCATCTTCTGAATCACTACCAAATTGTAAAAATGGAGGAGCCATTCCACCCGCTTTATCTTTCAATAGCATTGCTATTCTCGTATCTAAATCTAAAGTCTTACGAGTTTCAACAGGGGAATCTCTAGATGAATTTTTGACAGTGCTTTGATTATCCTTTTCCTTTTTGGTAGTATGATGTTGACTCTTACTCGTGGAGCTTTTGTTAGTCGACGTCGTATTAGTGGTTGGATTTTCCAAATTAGTTCCATGTTGAGCAGGCCAAACAGATGCAGATGGATACCCAGCAGTTCCGGAATTATTACTCCACCACATGTTTGAATTTGGTTGCATAGAAAGATTTTGGGATACATTTTGTGGCATATTAGGTAAATAACTATTAGGTGGTTGATGGTGATAACCACTATAGTAAAAATCATAATTGGTAGCCGGAGTAGAATTTTGAGAATAGTTGCTAGAATAATTTAATTCGCTAGGTGCTGTACCATAGCCTAAATCACTGCCAGTACTTCCACTAGGCGTAGGATAATCCCTATACTTATTGTATCTCGAATTTTCAACATACGGATCTCTAACTTTTTCTACACTAGCAATTGTCTTCTTAGTACTTCTATAATCGTCCCTTTCTTCAGGCACAATTTTATCAATCGGTGCTTGTTTTTCCGGTTCAACATCACACTTTACTTCCTTTTCGACTTTTCTCTCAGGTTTCTTTTCTACGGTTAACTCCTCGTAAATTTTTTTACATTCCTCTCCGAAAGCATCGAGAAACACTCTTAAAACCCTACCCATCACAGATGTATTGTTCAATTTTTCTACACAAGCTTTGGACGCTTTAGTAGTTTCAAAGACTACTCTGGCTATTCCAAGATGTTTATTAGTTACTGGATGGTAATATATAGTAAGTTCTTCTACGGCACCAAACTTTTGAACCATGTCTGTTAAAAATGTTTTATCAATATTGTCATTAAGGTGACAAAATGTTACCTCCAACGGAGGAGGTTCTCCGCAATAATTAGAATCTATTTTAAATCTAGGTACAGGTAAGTCGAGTTGTTCTAATCGAGTCCATATTCTTGTTAACTGAGATCTGGGATCTCTTGGCAAAACGACAGGATACGTAGGATCTCCTGGAACCATTCCATCGTATCTATACAATTTGGTAGCTCCTTTTACCAAGAATGGATCCACCAATAATTTATAGTTCCTTGGTTTCTGTACCACTTGTGGCGTAGATGGTTCTTTCTGAGAATGAGCTACGTGACTATGGCTATGTTTGGACGATTGATTCGAATTCTGTGACGTGCTCTGTGAATTGCCATGAGAATGGCGATGACGATGCGAATGTGCATGCGAGTGTCCATGTCCATGTCCATGTCTCTCCATTCCGTTCATTGCCTCCAAGCATCATCCATTCGTGTGAACCACTATTGCAAACGTTTAAGCAAATTTTGTTGATACAACGTATTTCATATGTTTACAATCATAAATTTAAAGGAAGAAACAGTGTTCAGTGGTATTATATGTCAAATTATTTGCGAAACTTATATATGTACAATTTTCACATTAAAATGTTTTTTAATCACAATAAATAGATCACACACCCTTGCTAGAAGAGAACTAAATGACGTGACAATTGTTATATTTAAAGATCTGCTCTAAATTCAATCATTAACTGTAGTATCACTAATAACAATTAATGGCAATCACATAATGCATTCACTTATCAACAATATAAAACTTATAATATTTATATATTGAAAAACTTTTTGAAGTTCCATGTATCTGACACAATTGCATTAGTGCAAGATTTGCACTAATTTTAAAAGATACGACAATTATTCTCTATTTTATGAACACCTTGCTCGTACGTCTTTTTATTTAAAAATTAAATAAAAAAAGGAAAAAGATTAAAAAAAAATAGGAAAACAAAAATAACGACCGATTAACATGTAATTATGTATCTTGCAAAAAAGTATAATAACGATGATATCAGCGATCAGGTTGAACAATTTTTCTTATTTGTTTCCCCAAGAGGAGAATAATCACACGATTTCATTCACGATGAAACAAAATTTATTCATCCCTTGCAAATGTGTATCCACTTTTCTTAACTTTTTTTTTCCATCGCACGTAGAATTCTTAAAATCCAAGTTGATTAATTCGCGTACGTATCACGATGATAACACATAACCTCCAAAAATTGTCCAAGTATTTACTCGAGCGATTCGTACTGTTGACGAGCACATACACGGCGTGCCAAATGATTGTAAATCTTCCTAGGACACGTTAACTCATTGATACGATTATTTCCATCGTTATTTACTCCGATATAATGAGAGAAAAAAAGAAAAAAAAGAAAATAAAAAATCGGTCGAGGTTTGAGAAGAAACAAGAAAAATTCTCTTCAAGGCTTGTCTATTATAGTTCACTTATTTTTCTTGAAATCGTAGAAAATAATAATTCGCAATAAGTCCGCTGATGTATCTTTTCTCGAATTACTATGAAGGAAATTATATTTTGAACGTGTATGATTGCGTTAGATCACGATATCGATATCCTCTACCTTCTTTCTTTCTCTCTCTCTCTCTCTCTCTCTTTCTCTCTCGCTTTATCTGTCTCTCTATCTCTATCTCTCTCTATCTCTCTTTTTCTCTCTCTCTCTCTCTCTTCCTTATTTAACTTACCCGTCAACTTTCTTCCCGAAGAAACATACAAGTTTATTGATACCTGCCCAACGAACACACGTATGCACGCACGCACGCAGAACGCACGCACGCACGCACGCACTAACGCAAAAATACCCCGACTACGAACGTCGGTATCGAAGACTATATTCACCGATGTATAAAGCACCACCAAGTATATATTCCACTAAACTAAACTCTTTTCGACCGACTCCTTTCGTTGATCCTTCGATCAATTAATTTTTTTCCGTAATCGTTTAATTTTTATATTTCATCCCTGAGATTCGAAAATGAACGAATGACTTTCTTAGAAATGAAAAATAATCTTCTCGAAGTGTTAAAGAAACGAGCCTATAACGTCCGATAAAGCTGATCGCGATGCACTTTTCAGTGACGCCATCCTTGTCACTTAAAGAATCATCATTACATTGGTAACTACGAGTAACATTATATTTCTATAATCACAAATTCAATATTATTATTTCGCGAAGAACATATTATTAACAATGACATTATTTCTCCCTTTGATATTATCTTAATATCTTAATATAATCTTGAAACGCCCTTAGTCGACCCACGGTATACGTTCACGGTGAACCGAGAACCAACGAAGCACCCCAAAGTCTTTTTTTCCCCAATTTTTCCAAAATTTCATTATCATGAAATTCTTAATCATTGAGAGAATAATACCTGATAATTCCTTGTACGGCTGGCATTTTGTTAATTTGCCAGGAGTCTGCATAGGTAATTAAAATCTGGCGCTGAATTAATTGCTGAAAAACTTGTTGCCCGATGATATTATGTGTGTGTGTGTGGCATTTAATCCACGCATTGGTCAATTTCCAAAACCGAGAAATATATTGTGGAAGTATTAAAACTATCCCCTATTGGCAAATCAGCTAACGCGCTTAAAAAGAAAATAGCGCGTTTTCATGCGCGATAGTCGTCGTCCCACATATCACCCATTTTATCTACTACTACATATAAACGTCCACGTGGATGATTTTTCTTTTTTGACTAATGCACCTGCGCCTCTATTCTGTTATCTAATAGTAGGAAATTAAAAACCAGTTATAATAGTTTTTTTTTTAACCCAATACACGATCAGATAAATTGTACTTCTTTTTCAATGAAATATTTAAAAACTAACTATACACATTTGCCTTGTATTACTATACTATCGAATAAAGAATTATTATTATTATTATTACATATATGGCAGTTGATTTCATATTTAAGCCAATATTTATTATTTTATAAATATATTACTCGTATTTTATTCGTTATTTATCATTAAATGTTAACCAATAGCAATAAGAATGTTTCCATAGGGATATTTCTTGTAACTTTGATCTAGTTACTTTTAGAATAAGCCTTAACGAATACGAGTCAATTTCATAGCATACAGATAAAATAAAAAAACTAATAAGTTTGAACATAGTCATTGGAACATCATATGATAATTGGAGTACACTCTCTGTTCCCTTTAAATTTTAATAAATATATATCTTCTTAAAATGTCTTTCATTCAGAATTTCATTAAAAATTTTGTACCAAAAGTTAAGGCAAATGACGAAGAGGAAGAGTTAGTTGATCCTCAAACAGTTCTCCGTGTAAGTTTTTTTTATTATGTAATACTATCAACTTTAACATGTCAAATAATTAAAAAAAAATCTAATTTAGAATTTGAAAAAACTTGTAATGTATAATCCCGTATTCTTGTTTCATTTTAAGTAACTTTTTAACAAGAGTTTATTTCATCAAATCATATTTTCATTAATGTTCGATGATCTTTACCTTGAAGTAATAAAATTATCTCAAATCAATAAAATTAATTCTTATAAGGAATAAAAGTAAATCTATTTGATTAATATATTTATAAACGTTATCACTTTATTATCGTATTCTAATAAAAATGTATATTTTATAGGAAAAATGCTCAGCGAAACACTGTGAAAAATTTAAAGAAATATTAAACACGTGTAATGATCGTGTTAATTCAAAAAAAGAAACCGAAGAAACATGTCTTGAAGAACTGATAGACTATGTGGAATGTGTAGATCATTGCGTAGCTGAAACTCTTTTCAGCAAATTGAAATGAACTAAGTTAGATCCTTATAAGAACTTTACATGGTTGTCGTTGCAAATGTCATAGACTAATTCATGTACGCATTGTATATATGATTCAATAATAGAAATAAAATGTAACTTATAGGGAACGTACGTGATATTACCATTGCCTAGCATTCACAACTTATCGAAGCTTTTCAAATATTTGCAATAAAAGAAAAATGACATAAGAATTAAAAAACATTAATGGTGATGAGTTTTTATTGAGAATCCGATAAAATTTTAATATTTGCATCATTTGTTCAACATGAATATTAATTCTAACAACGTGTAAAATTTATATTTGTTATTTTTGTAATTGTATTGTGAAATTTCTTATTTAAGTATTATATTAATAATTATACAAAATTTAATGTATTTGATGATAAAATCGTCCCGATAAATTTAACATTTCTGCCACGGCGTGCGCTGCGATCGATTTCGTTGTCCCCCTACCATGTACTCCGCACGATCTCTATATATAGGATGATGTATGCATAATGAATCATTATTTTTCTTGTTTGTATTTATAATTTGGAAATAGTTTTTAACAAATTGTTTTTCTATTAATAAAGTAGTACAATAAAAAGTATATATTATTAATGACATAGAATTACACAGACTTTTAGTTTGAATAACATCTGTACTTTAAAAGGCAGATGTAATGACACTTTGTTCGTTTGCATGATAATTTTGATTTATTATGATCCTTACCAATCTGCTCCTATTTGCAATACCTCAAAGCATACACCGCATACGCGTACTGGCTTGTTATATCCAAATTTTAAAATGGGAACATCTTGACCTGAACATTTACTGCATAAGATTCTTCCACAGTGCCGACTTCAATAAAGAAAGCAATAATAAAGGTAAAGATAAGAATACTTTAAAGTAGATTTTGTAAATTAATCTAGTTCTTACCAATGATGTTTACGCATGGTTATAGAGAACTTTGTGCCACACTCTAAACATAGATCTTTGTCTGCCCAAGGTGCTTCTTGCGTTAAAGAATCCAATAATCTGTATAACAATTGCTTAGTCGCAACTTGATAATTAAAAATTGTTATACCATCCTTATTCATTGAACCGAGACAAGCCCCAGAACGTACCAGTGTCCGACACAAGTTACCATTACCTTTCATATAGGCTATTAACAATGGGGTATTACCATCTAAGTCTAAAATAGAAATAATAATAGTAAACGGATGAAACTTCAAATATTCATCGATATAAAATGAATTATTTTTACCAGCATTGTTCACCGGATATTGCGACATGCATTCTAAAAAGAGTTCGCATATAGTTGCAGCATTATCTCTTCCGCATCTGGCTAATTCATGTAGAGGATTTCTGCCTTTCAGATTTACTGCTTCTGCGTCTAAAGTACATTCTGTTAATAACGTTCTTACGACAGATACGTGACCTTCTCTTACTGCTACGTGTAATGCGTTATCGCCATCCGCATTTACTGCATCAAAATTAATATTGTTCTACGAGAAAAATTAATATATACATGTATATATATATATATATTCCAATAACATCATGAAATATTAATAAACAATAATATTTACATGCAACAACGCAGACACGACTGTAGCGTGGCCAGCTTTCGCTGCAGCGTGTAATGCAGTATTTCTATTCGCATCTGTATCGTTGACGCGTGCTTCGGCTAAAATCAAACTTCGTACCAACATTTCATTTCCAGATATGGCAGCGAGATGTAAAGGGGGTGTTTGCGTAACATCATGTACTCTAGAATTTACATCTACCTACAAAAATGATTTTTATCAACAATTCAATCGTAGATGTAATGGCTGTGTTAATAAATAAAATCTTATATACCTGTATAGAAAGTAGAAACAAAATGCTCTCCATGTCTCCTTTTTGTATAGCAGTGTGCAAAAAGTTTCTTCCCTTATTGTCGTATTGTTCTGCAGCTTTGGGTAACCTTTCCAGTATCGCTTGAGCCGCTTTATTGTTACGAACGGTTAAAGCTGCCGCGAATGGCGTTAATCCTTTTTTGTCTCTCTTATTTAAATCTATATTAGGATGACATAATAACAATGATATTATTTGTGAATGTTGATTTTGTATTGCTACATGAACAGGAGTTTTTCCTTCCGCGTCACGAGCATTAACATCTGCTCCATGCTCGATAAGAGTTTGAACAACTTGTTCAAGACCCCATTGACAACATAAATGTAACGGAGTACATTCATCTTTTGATTCGTCACCTCCGGTGCCATTTGGTCCTGGACGTCTGGGAGCGTTTAAATCGCATCCACTGTAAAAATGAATATTTCAAAATAATGTGTCTTAATGTTCATTTGACAAAGAACGTTCTTATATCGACGATATACCTTCTTATGAGAAATTGTGCAATGTCTTCTTTATTTTCATCGATTGCTCTGTGTAATAAAGTTTGTAAACATCCATCTGGACCAGGACCCCAGCAATCAGCATCTGCTCCGTGTTTAACTAAAATAGAAGCGGTATCTTCTTGATCCGAATCCAATGCATCCCATAATGGGCATCCTACCGAAGTATCTACCCCTCGTCTACAAAGAGCTTCTACCACCTCGCTAAGTCTACAGTGCACGCTAAGTTGCAATGGTGTCTCTCCATTAGCTGTCCTGTTAATATATCATTTAGTAAATATAAATACGTTCTTCATTAATCTATTACCAATGTTAGCTACTTACTTTGCATTCATTTCTGCACCATTTTCTAACAAAAAAATGGCCGTTGCCGAATCTTCTTTTAATATAGATTGATGTAGCAACGTTAGTCCTTCTTCGTTGCATTGATTTACATTGGCTCCAGCTTTTATCAAAGCCAAAACAATATCTTTGCCTTTTTTAAATGGTGCTTTTATCGCCAAACTTAAAGGCGTTTCTTTCGCTTTGTTTTTCAAATTTAATTGTAAATTTGCATCCTTAGCATTGAGTAATTCTTCTACGATATCTAAATAAAAATGTGAAACTGCAATATGTATGGGCGCATCTTCTGTAGTAAGTGTGACCATGTTTGTTGGAATGCCATATTGTAAAAGAACTTTTGTTAATTGTTTCAAACCGACTTTGCAAGCTTCGTGTAGAATCGTGTAACCGTCATTGTTTGCTTTCATTAAGCTATCTTTGCAATATTCAGTTAAAAACAAGGCAGCTTCTTCTTTATTTTCTCTGGTTAAAACATGTAGAAGAGTGTCCCCTGTCTCCTTGTATTCAGGATTAGGTATTGCTCCTCTGAGTAAAAGTTCCTTAGCAAAAAATGATTGGAATGGTTCTATTTTCATTGCTAAACATAACGGAGTATCGTCTTTATTATCTCTTGCATCCAAATTTATATTTTTGGATTCAATTAATAAATTAAATATTGGCTCGTTTTTCTCCGAAATGCAACTATGCAAAGCAGTCCTAAAAGATGAAATAAATAATTTAAATTATTAGAAATAATATTTAATAATCAAATAGAGTAAATACATTTACATGTAATATTAATTACCATCCTCTGTGATCCTGTAAATTAGGATCTATACCGGCTTCTAATAATTTAGAAGCAACAGCTACGATATTTTCAGTGTCATGTTTTGTTACTAAATGCAACACAGTGCATCCTTCTAATTCCTTATAATTATCAATATTGTTCGCATTTTCGATAAATTTAATAGGTTCGCATAATTTCTGTGTACTTCCACTGTTTTCCAATTGTTCGATGATGAATTGAGCTGAATACGAGTCACCCCTTAAAATAGCATTTTGAAGTAAAGAAAGACCTCTTGAATCTTTGGCAGTAAGATCTGCCCCATGTTCAACTAAGGTTCGTGCCAAAGAGGGTTGTCGTGCTTTTAGAGCTATCTCCAATACAGTTTCTCCTTTTTGATCAATTACATTGACTGCCTTGGGAAGCTGTACAAAAATAAAAAATATATTATATCATTTTCTTTAAAATATTGAATTATTTGTGTCTATTTGTTAAGAATGATATAATTAATTCAAAAGAGATAAAAAATAAGAAAAAAAGTATATCAATTTCATGACAATGAATCATTCTGATTGTTAATCATTAACTCAACTAAAATGATCAAATAGGTAATTAATTTTATTTCATCATATAATAATTAACGTTGTAGTTGTTGTAATAATCGATAATTACAATAGATAATGAAATATTTATATTTTAATTATCAATTATTAACCGAATGAATAAAAGAAATAAAAAAGGTAATATATTTTGTAAAAGTTTGAGAACCACTGTTGGAGAGTAGTCATACAGGAATGCAGAATTGGTCACGGAGGAAGCGTAGAGATTACTTTCCGATATGAATAAGCTACGATATACGGGCGAATCGAAAAGAATACGAAGATGATATAGTAGTCGATGATACGGTTGCTTAACCACTTGTTAATATAATACTCTGTATGTGCAAATTTACTTAATTTTCAAGATAAACATGTATAGGAAATATATAACCTTACGATTTGCAAAAATTTAAGAAAATAAATCAAGTAAATGTTGATTTAGTGTATTTCGTGACAAGCATGCATTGTTTATTTAAACTCCTTATTAAATAATTTTCAATAGTTTTTAATTAACTAACAACAAAGTGCAGTTTTCAAGTGCATCGATGCAACACATCACAACATAACCATAAAATAAGAGGCCAATAATTGAAGTCTGTGTATTGAGATATATAGAAAAATATTCTTATGATTATTTGTTTTAGCAAATGATCATTATTTGCAACTGTGAATGATTTTGTTGTTGTTAATAATTTAGTTAAAAAATTGTTTAAAGATGCGTGTAGAAAGCTTACTAATACAATTTGTCACAATATTTTTATGTAAGTACAAATTTTCACCTATATTCTTGACTGCATTTTTTTTTTTATCGCAAAGAATTAAAAGAGACTTTGTATTTTATAGATATCTTAAAAACAAAAGCGGAAGGTATTATGTGCTACCGTTGCGTGGCAACATTTTCAGGACACGACGCATCTGAAAAACTTTGTTCCCAATTCAATGGGAATAAAACATTTCAAGTTTCTTGTCCTACATCAACATTTTGCGTTAAAAAAACTGTCTATTATAAATCCCAAAGTATGTAGAGCTTTTAAAAGTGCAATTAGGAAATACAATTAAGAATTATGACTAATGTTGTTGTTTAACACTGTTTCAGCATCCATGATTAAAACAGTTCAAAGAGACTGTGCTACTCAAAAGTATATATATAAATCCTATGATTTTGAAAAAAAAGAATGGAGTGATAAGGAAGAAGTAATAAAAACAGTTTACGAAGAAGGCTGTGCTACTGGTGAGGACAGAGGAGCAACTGGTAGACCACCTGAATATTGTTACTGCGATTCTGATTTATGTAATTTTTCTCCTTCCATTAAGACGGTAAATGTGACTACTGTCTTTCTATTAGCGCTATCTTTATTATTTGTTAAATTTGTATATGTTTAAAAAGTTAACTATTGATAGCCTCCAAATTAAAATATTGTTATTCCGAAGGAGTAAGTTTAGAAAAAAATATTTGAGAAATTCAATGCATTTCTTAAAATGCAACGAATGCTTAAGTTTAATTATGTACTTCTAATATTGTGTATTGTATTTTTATAAATTAATTAGGTATTAATATACCTAATATATTGTGATATCGTTACGTTAAGAAAAAAATGTAATCTCTATTAAGGATACCATTTTATTTACAATTTAATTTAATTATTTAATATATTACGCGATATATTCCATCGATAAGAATAATCTTTTATTTTAGAATTTAATCTGTGGCCAATAGATGAATATTTTTAACACTCACCTGCTTAATTATAGCATACATTTCATAATTTGCTATACGATACACATATTAGTTTCCTTATTTTGAATTAATGAAAAGTAATGAAATAAAAAACAAAAAGGTTCCTTACCTCTGTACTATTTTCAATTAAATACAAAAATACAACGTCCTCCCTTAATAAACGAACTGCCGAATGTAAAGGGTATTTGCTTTTAGCTTGTAATAATTTATACACTAAAGAACAATGTAATTCTTTAAAATCTTCTCCCGTTAGGTCTTCCTATAAATCAAATCTTTAATTTAATCATTGTTTCATATTAGCAAATACTTTATAGAAATTAAACAAATACTTTACCTACCCAGTGTATGGATATCAAAGAACTACAATGATCTCTGAGATTTTGTACGCCCAATTCTTCAGCAGCTACGTATAATTGAACGCAATCTTTAAGACCGGCAATGCCAATCAAATATTTTTCGCATTGATCGATCAATTCTGATAATTGAAAAGACGAAGCAGCTCTCATTAAATCTACCGTTAAATTTTCTTGGGAAACCTTTCCCGTGTAAATCCATTTCAATAAAACTAATCCTACGCGTGTATCTAGACTGCTCCAGTCTGTAAAAAATTTATTTTCTAGAATAATTTTTAAAAGATTGGTTCAAAGCAAAGGCATTACCTAGTACCGGCGTACCGGCATGAACAGATTCACCAAAAAAGTCACTGCGAGCAGTCAGGACAAATCTGTGAGCTGGTACTTCTTGATCTGCTAATTTAATGGTAATGTCACTAAAAATAACAAACGCATAGTTTATGCACTTTTAGAATCTACATAATAATAGAATAATTATGATTTTATAAATGTGTCATATGATGTTTACAACGTTCATATACCTGTAATTATGTTGATTGTACAAAGATGCCACCGTTGTTAAAAGTCGACCAACAAATCCATTTTCTCGTTTATCCGCAGTTGCAATAGCATAATCACGTTGCAGTTCTGCATTTGCATTATACAAACTGACATACTGTTCCCGCAATAAACACAAACGTTGTTGCCACTTTTGGGATTCTGTAGTATCTTCTAAAAATGCAAATGAAATATCTCCATCATTTAAACATCAATTTGTAATAATATTTTTAAAAACATTTTGATAAACGTACCCATAATCTCGTGTGTAATTGTTTTAAAATGATCTTAAACGTACGGTGAATATTTCTCGGTTGACAGCATCCACAGGCCGCTATTCTGTATAGGTTAGAATTTAGAATGAATATATTAAAAAATTATCAAACTTACTTAGATAAGGGTGAAACTTGAAAAAGACGTGAATAAATGAGAATTTATTAAATATCCGCCCACACTATTTACTGCATCTGTCAGTTGCTTTCATCATCAGTGCAATTCTTTGATAAACCTAATGCCACACGAGTGATAGTAAAAGTTCCTATGTTTATACTTTTCGATAATGATAAATGACGTCAATGTGTAGTATGTCGATTTAGAATCTATCTATCGATCATGCGACTTTCGCAAGAATATTTCATAATGAATTATTTAAATTATTATTAAAATTGTCGACAAAATGTGTCATTCTCAAGTGATTATTATTTAGTCCAGTATTATTGTCGCCATCATTAGTTCGAATAACCAAAGATTTAAGACCGGTCTATTTAGTTGTTAATTTGATAATTTATTTATAAATAATGAGAAGTAATGAAATAAAGTGATAATTAAAATAAAGTGCTTTTTAAAGTGATTATAATGAATAAATAATTGACATTTTCTAGCAAATTTAAAGGAATGTTTTAGGGATGAAAAAGTTAGTCGTGTCATTTGTAATAGTAAACAAGACGATTTAAAAAATGGCGCCCATTTATTCTTCCGATATAGGAGATAGTCGATACCTCGTGGTCATAGTGTTAAGTTCTGTCATATTTTATGTTGACGATAGCCGCAGCTGGACTGCGTCGTTTAGCAATGTCCGCGACAGAAAAATTTGAAGTTTTGTTCGTTTTGGGTGGACCCGGTGCAGGTAAAGGAACCTTATGTCATTTGTTATCAGAAAAGTATGGTTACGTTCACTTGTCGGCCGGTGATCTCTTGAGGAAAGAGAGAACCAAACCCGATTCGGAATTTGGTGAGCTCATCGAAACGCATATTAAAAATGGAAGTATTGTACCTGTGGAAATCACTTGTTCTTTATTGGAACGTGCCATGCAGACATCTCAGGCTCCTAAAAAAAAATTTCTCATAGATGGTTTTCCACGAAACGAAAATAATTTAACTGGTTGGAACAAGGTGAGGTTATGGTTCAAGTGAAACCTTTTAATAGATTAAAATATGCTATATATATAATAATTGATATTAATATTTCTTCTCTTTACGATAGGTCATGTCAGACAAGGTACTTTTGAAAGGTGTCTTGTTTTGCGAATGTTCCAAAGAAGTTTGTACTCAAAGATGCCTCAACCGTGGAGCCTTAGGTAGTGGACGCAGCGATGATAATGAAGAAACTCTTATAAAGAGGCATGAAACTTATGTACAAAACACAATGCCTATAATAGAATATTATGAAAAACAAGGCCTGGTGCATAAGCTTGATGCTATGAAAACACCATTGAAAATAGTAGAAGACGTAGAAAAATTTTTACCTAGCATAGGATGGTAAATAAGACGACAAACTATTATATGGAAAGAAATAATTTTACAGTCGATATTTTTCTTTCTTTTATCAAATATCAATCATTGAATTTCCAAGCTTTTGTTAGTCGATAGATATGACACGTTAGATATATTGCTAATAATATTATCTTACTCTTTTATTTTATATTTTTATCAATTGATACTTTGTCAGAATTATTTTATCTTAATTATTATATACATTATTGTAGAATATAATTGTAGAACACGTTAACTGTAGAAATACAATATATAATAACAAAATACTATATAATATATAATATAATAACTATAATATAAAATACTATATACTATATAATATAATAATAACAAAAGACTATATGATGGGATAGAAATAGACATTCTTTGATACCGAGTTGTATACAGAAACAGAAGATGTTTATAATTGATATGTATATATAAATGCATTAGATATACAGATATCAGGTATGAAATATAACGACAAAATGATGTATAATGATAAAGCATTAATATTGCTGTGCAAGCAAATAATAAAATTGAACTTGAGAATTATATTACAATAATTAGAATTGAATTATAATTTATTTCTTTTACTTCCTCCAGTGTATATACAGGATAAAGAGTAAACAAATTCTTTCCTAATATGACGAACTATGACGACTAACGAGTCGAGAAAATAATGTAGAATATTGCCGTTTAGTTTTACTTTTAACAAATCTGAATGACATTGTGCGATATCGCGCATTATCGCACGATAATCAAGCCTATTTTATTCTTTGTTATCGATTCTTCAAATGTTAATCGCAAGGTGAAAGAAGCGAATATCACGTAGAAGATCTCTTACAATTAGATTAAATTTCAAGATGGATACATTGTTATTTGTGGAATTGGAAATGAACGTTTTTCTATCCTATATTCAATTATTTATTATAATATTATATTTTCGAATTTATATTCAAATCGAATAAACGCAATTTTAAAATCACGGAAATTGTATCTTTCGATCGAAATCTTATAGATAAAATATTATTTTCTATGTTTCCTTCTTATGAATAGAAAATTGAAACAGGATAATAGATTCATTATATTTTATCGTATAAGCTGTCGCAATATCTTTAACATGTTGTAGAACTTACTGTATTTGCTTCTTCGAATGCATCGACAAATGCATCAACAGATGCATCGACAAATGCATCGAATCGTGCGCCTCATTAACAGGACGTTGACATTTACTTGAGTAAACTCGTCCTGAATCACCGATAACGTTGTTCCGCGTATCGATTAACGATAATACTTTTGTAATTTTTATCTCATCCGATTAAGATCTCGAGTTTCTTCGAGTACATAGAAATCAAAGAGTTTTTGCGCATAGAAATGAAATCGAGTAAGAAGAAGAAGAAGAAGAAGAAGAGGAGGAAGAAGAAAAATGTAATTGTTTGAAAAGAAACAAAATATAAAGGATCACCTTGGCGTTACCTCGATGAGATCGATTAAATCATCATCATTTAAATTCTTTTGTAAAATACTTTATTTAAAAATTAATATCATTTATAAAACGAAACATACAAAAGAATATTTTGTAATTATTGCGTCATAAAGTGAAGAAGGAATTAATCTCTGAGAAAGAATGATCAAGCGTTGATTTAGAAATATACGGTTTCTCTTTGGTTTGTTTTTTTTCAATAGAAGAGAGAGTATCTGTAAGATCAAGAGCGAGATCAAGTCCGAGAGTGAGAGCAAGAGAGTAAGAATAAGGAGCAAGAGCGAGAGCAAAAGCAAAGATAGTAGAAGTAGGAATAATAACTAGTTGCCGGTAATAGGTTCGTAGAAGAAGCGTAATCTTTGTAACATCGATAAGAGGAGAGATGGGATACGGCGGCGGTGGCGGCGGCAACTCCCCCGAAGCAGCAACTTGCTCCTCCTCGTCGTTAGCTCGTCGTTGTCCAATATATAAGTAAACCGTCGTCGATTGCCAGTACAGTACAGTCTACGTTTTCCCGTCTTTCTCTCCTTCATACGGATTTACTTGCTTTCACGTTGTGTGAAACGCGTTCGCTCGATTACCGAAATCCTTACTTTCCTTCCTTTTACTTTTTTTTTTTTTCAATTTTTTCCTTGAAGATTATTCATTCGTACTTATACGTTCGAAGTATTCGCGAAAGCGCCGATTCTAAAACTAAACATGAGTGTCCTTCGACCTATCCTCAACAACCCTTATCATTTTTCTATTTATTTCCACATGTTTATTATAATTTTTTCAACGATAATTTTCAACGTACAACCAGGTCTCTCGATCAAACCAGAAACGGTCCTTTCGAATATTTTACTGAGACCGTTTGAACCTACTAAATGGAGTACGAAAGAATGTCAACGGGATAGCGCCATCTACTTGGAGGAACTCTCGCGTTATACACCATGGGCTTTGAAAAGTAAGTTAATATAATCCTGCTTTTTCAAAGTTCATTTATAACAGAACGATTTTATTGTTAATGAAAGATATAGTTCAAGTTTAAGTATTTATTTATTCAAAAATAATGAAGAAAAAACGAAATAAATATACTGTTCATTATTAACGTTATTAATTATTGCGAAATATCGAGAAAGAAAAAGTTCACGTTTTTAATATGCGATGTAATATATATATAGTTGATGCTTACACATCGATTTGCGCGCGTTAACTCACGTAACTTTCCTTTTATTTTTCTTTCTTTCTTCATTTTCCGATAGATCCACGAGCAAAGCTTCGCGTTACCGTAAAAGAAGATGCTCTTACGCTGCTACGATCAACGCCGGTGCGTACCGGAGTTTTATTTTTGACTTTACTTTATTATTTATCATCTCTTTCTCTTTCTTGTCATCGTTTTCTCGTCGACGTTTTTTTTCGTAAGAATGTCGATCAGTTATCACGGTCATCCTCACATAAGAAGTAACCAATATCTATATGAAACGGTTGCAACCGGTTTCTCTGTACCAGCCCGAGAAACGAAGTGGATCAATAAGTAGTAACTATGGTGCCGATGACCGTCCTTGTGTATCAGGGTTTATCTGTTTTACTCGATATAAGATAATCGATCGATTTCCTTTACTCATCTCTCTTTAATTTTCAAACCAACAAACACAACATTAGAGAACGTTTCAATTGTTTACTTTATCGAACCGAATCGGATGACGACCTTGATGATCATTTCGCAACGTTCAAATCATGCATTCGTTAATTATAATTAATGAGAATATTATTGAAGTAAAAACGATCATTTTTGATTTAATCTTATTCAAATTACGTATTCGTTAATTATAATTAATATTATTTATGCTAAAACGGTCATTTATGGTTCAATGTTGTGAATTTTGTTTTCTTTCATACTTTTCTAATACTAATTATAAACTCTTTATTTTGTATTGTTGGAATTTATTAGGATTCACGCATTATGCGAATACGTAAATTGTGACGTTAAATAAGGAAGTTGCTTCTCGTCTTATCTATTACTATTTTAGCAATAGTTTATCATTCGACCAATAAACATATCATTCATATATTATTTACTTATAATGTATTTTCTTATCGCTTGTGAAAACTTCATCGGTTTGGTTCGGTTCGGTTCGGTAATGTATTTGGCATTGAATCATTCTTATCGTAGATGCATTTTTATTTGTTACATGTATACATATCTATATATATAAACATACATATCTATATGTACTCTGAGTGTCCCATATAACTGTATTCACGATTTTTCAAGTACTTACCATAATCTAACAACAAAATATTTTAAACAAAAGTTAATCTGCTTTTAATTGACTCATGAACTTTGATTGACAAAACTCACATTGCAATAAAAAAAGGTTTGAAAAAAATTTGTTTTTTGTGATGTTTTTTAAGGTTGCCTTTAGTTTTTTAAATGGCACCATATTATTTTGATTTTATAATATTATAGCTCGTATTTAATACAAATTTATGGAATTAGCGTGTAATGAGCTGTGTATGATCTTGAAAACAAAGAAAAGAATAGAAATAGGCGATAATAACTTGTATTTATTATGAAAATATTTCAAAATTTTCAATATTATTCAAAGGTTATGGTATACTAGTTCGTTAACTTACTATTAATACGAACTATAATATTGTAAGGTCAAAAATATACCGTGCCTTTTAAAAAAAACAAAGCAGTAGCCTTAATAAACATAAAAAAAAAAAACATATTTTTACACATTTTTTTATTGTCGATTTATTGTCAATTTATAGTCGATCAAAACTAGATCAACTTTTGTTTAAAGTATTTTTTGTCAGTTTATCGCAAGTACTTGAAAAATCGTGAATACAGTTGTATGAGACACCCTGTATATGTGTGAAGAACTATTAAAATTTTCTCGTCTTTGTTTTCTTATTTCTTTTTCTTTTTTTTTTTTTTTTTTTTTTTTAGTGTACGACGCTTCGGTAAAAATACCGACCGGTATTATCACTGGGAATTACAAACAATTGGGCAATTACAACGAATGTCTTCAGGTTAAAAGTGATCAAGGAATTTCTGGCCAATCCTGTAGCGCTACAATACAATTTGAAGTAGCAGAAGATAATAGTACATCTAAAGAATTAGATTTTGCTGATTTGCTCGTAAACGTCGCTACGGCATCCGTAAGTTTTATTAAAATATTCGATTTTTATTCCAACTTCTTTATTTCAATCGTTCATTCCAACATATTTATCTACACTTTATTCTAACATCCTTGGTTTAACCATTCATTTTATTTACATTGTTTTATATTAACCTTTCTCAAATCACAAATGTCCTGAAATATACACACACACACACACACACTCAACTCAAATACTCTCTTCCTTCTTCAGATAAATACGTTTACATTTCTCATAATAACAGAGGATATAATATTTCTTATACTTTTACCTAAACATAAAAACATCTTAGCTTATTCTAGAATATCTATTTATACTTATAAGAAGGTCGTTTTCACTTTTTCTAGAAACATGTATTTTCTCTTAACACATTGCGTACAGCATACTGTTCGCGCAACACGTTTTCAAGGACCGCACATTTTTGGGTATACTTCTATAACATTATTCAATTCAAAAATTTAGCTATTATCACTGAGTTCATTTTTCATCTGCAGTATTATTTGATTCATCCGATAAATCATTAAACAATAATTTACATCGATTTTTATTTTCTTTACTTYTATTCGTCATTTTGCTACTATTTTAGAATAAAATCCTATTTCATCAAATAATTGTCATTTAAAAGACTACAAATATAAATAATTTTTAAAAAGCTATTTCCTTGCAAAGTAAAACGCGATTTTTAAAATAACAAAATGATGTACAACAATAAAACACTTTATAAGGTAGGATACAGAGCTATTGTTGCAATAGCTGTAAATTTTCGTTAATTAGAGTTAGGAGAATACGCGAGATTCCGTTAACCTGGTTAACGTAATAAGAAAATCAAATTTTGATTCCTTAAATCATTGAAACATGAAAACGAGATATCTCGTGACCCGTACGCAATGTGTTCAAATGTGAGAGAAAATGTATTTATCCTATTTTCAAAATTAACTAAAAGAAAACCATTGGCGTATATATCTAACGTACTAAATTTACTCAATATTTTGAAAAGTTTATATCCAATCAGCTAATCACTTTCATCTTTATATTGATCTTTCCAACCAATCAATAACCTCGATTAAAATTCTGTCTGAATTCACTGTAAAAATTGTCCAACCTATTGTAACTTATTGCAAAATTTGATTTATCACTAATTCATTGTTTTATTCATTGTAAATATCTTTATTTATACTTTTTATTATTTATTAACTTTTTTTTTTCCTTTGTATTTTCTTTGTGTTCTTTCATTTGTTTTTATGTAATAATGGATTTATTCCATAAAAAAAAAAGAAAAAAATTTCTAAAAATAGATGTTTCTTTTTTTCCGTCATCTTTTATATTCGAAGCTATTGGAAATTTTCATTGGTTGCGATAATTCGAATGATTTTTGTAATCGCGAAGTGAGAGTGTTTACAATCACGAGTAAATAAAGAAATACGTTACTTTGATTTCAAATTACAAGTAGATAATCTTTTATTTGATTGTGTAACCGATAATGTTATTGTAAGCGATCGTTCGCGACCTTGTTTACTGTTTCGCGTTGACAACACAGTAGAATTTAATGTACTGGTAAAGATATAAAGTTTTACCTTACATCATATATTATTCTTTTTGTTCATCATAGAACGCAACGAAATGGCGTTCGGGCAATACAATCGCTTACGAATGGATGTTGTGCGTACCGTCGAGTTGCAATCATTCGGAAGTTCAAGAATTTTTGGATATTCATTTGGATCCTTTAAAGGTCGAGGGTCGGCTAGATTTTGTAATAAACGTTCCAATAACGTCCTGTCATACTTTGGAAACCGAACGAACAACGTTCAATCTATCTGATTGGATTTACATGTAAACATGAATTATATTTATATTCGTTGACCTTATTGATCTTATTATACTCGATCGAACATTTGATAAACTAATTGAAATTACAGATCGATTCTTCTTATCTTCTCGTTGATAATTATCGTTAGTACGGCTTTCGATATCTCACGTAAAGGACATTTGAGTTCATCGAACCGAAAAGGTGAGTCTTATCTAATTAATTCTTATCGTTAATCGTTTTTTGTTTCTATTACATCATTATTGGACAACGTAACTGTTGACATTGCTTTATTGGGAAACAATAAAGAGCCGTTAATTAATAACGCGAAAATACTAATAGATAAAACAAAAGAATTGGGGCTAAAAATAAGAGTGGAAAAAACCAAATATCCGATCACCGATAAAATTTAGAATGTGCGTAATATTGGAACTTTGATCGTTCGGGATAAAATTTTTAAACGGGTTAGCAACTTTAGGTATTGAGGATCGATCATAAACCAAGAACTTAAAAATAGAATAAATTTAGACAATGTTAATAAATTACTCAGCTCACGGTTGCTGTCTAGGCGTTTCAAAATCAGGATATACATGACAATCATCCTACCGGTAATCCTTTATGGTACCGAAACGTGGTCACTTGCAAAGAAATTGAGGATTTTCGAAAATAAAGTTGTTCGTAAAATGTTCGGTGCAAAACTCGATGAGAAAACGAGCGAATGGAGAAAACTCCATAACGTAGAGGTACACTGACTATACAAAAAACCGGACATCATTAACGTCGTAAAATCACGCCGATTAAGTGGACTGGTCACGTGGTGTGCATGGGGGAGGAGCAAACGGAAGGGTCCGCGCTCAGGGACGTAAACACTGGTCGGGATTTGGTATTTGTAGCAATGAACTTTCGAGTTACTAATGCCAATTAACCCATTTGCATCATGACTAGAATTAGTCTTTCTTGCTCAATCATCCGAGACATAAAACTTACGACTGACCGGTATCACCGGTCAAATGCTCACAGGTAGAAAAGCCAATGCTTTTTATGCGGATTATTCCGCGTTCGGTGATAGTGGACAGTCCCGGGTTCGCGGATTATTCCGCTCATGGTGATAGTAGACAGTCGCGGCTCGTGGAATATTCTGCGCAATGATGCAAATGGGTTGTTAACCTTTTCGCTACGGGTGTGTTTTCCGCGGCGCTACTTCAACTGTACAGTCTGCTAATACATGCAGCATCAAAATTGTACTTTATTTTTGAGTAATTTTGTTGCTGATGTTAACGATTTTTAACCCTTAATGCTCTGACGTTTAATTGTGGTTATCTACCGGCAACTCCAACTTGTTCCACAATTGAAATAAAGCGCCGCACATCGGTGGTGCCTGGGAGGCACACTTGAAGTAGAACGCTGCTTGTTGATGGTGTCTGCGAGGAACACTTGCGTTAAGGGTTAATTGAAAGAAACAAAACACTAAAATTACATACCTATAATGGGATATTTGATGTGCTACAATTGCATATGTTCGTCGTATGTAAAAATATGCGGCATTTTATGGAGAGCCACTATAGTGGCCCGTAGTACCTCAGTGGCATCTTATGGAGGGCCACTATAGTGGCCTGTAGTAGTGAAAGGGTTAATACGTTCCGTGCTACGTGTACCACTGGTGGTACACGTTAAACTTGTTCTTCAGACCACATGTACCACCGGTGGTACACTTACCATTAGACATATTTATTTAATGCATTGAAAATATATGTTTATAACAAATTTAATTCTGTAAAAGAATATTTCTACTAAAATATTGATGCATTATACAAAATGCAATAGAACAAAGCACATAAGTTTGTTTAATTGTTATATTTACAATAATTAATAATTACATGTAATGGTTGATTTTTTTAAAGCAAAATTAAATGGCCCGAATAACAAGTCAGGTAAAAAGGGCTTGGCACGGAACGTGTTAATAA